AGTTTTTATTTTCCTGAACCTCGGGCAGCCCGAGTCGGGCTTGTCCATTATCCAGGGAGCAAGTCAAGAATTTCAGTCGTTTGCTATACACTCCACGGCGTTCAGTACGTACAACAGTACCTACTGTAGAATCAAGTTATAGAGAACAACTTGTAACAGTTGTAGCTCTGAGGATTTAGCATTACATTCGTTATAGGTATATAACCCACCAGGGGACGATGAATTGACATGATATTGTACATTTCCGCTGCCTCCCAAAAAATATACTATTTTCAGTTTCACCACTCTTAGAAAGCGTTATTTTTTCACGCGGATAGTCGAACTCTCGCTAGGGAACGCGGAGACTGTCTCGGATGAGCCGAGTCGGCACTGTCATAACCGATGCCAATTTGGCATTGCCAAATGGCCTTCCTAGATCAAAACACTCGTGCCACAGCCTAAGAAAGTCGAATCAAGGATTCTGGCTGGCGAACTGTTACACGATGAGCTTGCTTGAATGTTCCCTGAACGATAGACGGAGTTCAACATCAAACCTCCCATGGGTGTAGCGAAACAAACGGCACGATGATCAGAACCGATGAGGAGGAAGCCTACATCCTCAGCTTCTCGCAACTCGATGTAGTACTTCACGATGAGTACCCAGGCACGCTCTGCCATCCTAGGCTAAATTTTACGAGTTTCGCTGATATACAGCCCCAGGTCGATCGAGATAACATCAGCATTCACGTCGGAGCCTATGGTGTGTTACTCGCATTGCGAGTCTCGCAATACGTCTCTTGGTCGGCGCAGTTGACTTCACCTCTAGAGACTCTAAGTATCAATGAGAAGAGGTCTAAGCGGGACCGGCAGGGCGGGGGTGGGATGCGCAACAGCGTTAAGTTCATTTGAGAGATATCCACGTTCTGCTGTAGGCCAGCCACGAGATTGTATCGATCTCATATCTAACAACCAAATGTTTCTTCAGTAACCAACTCACAGGATTTCAGCGGGCAGGAGAAACGCTTGAGCATTCATCATAGCCTGGATGCCTGCCTTGCAAATGGATACGGCCTGTTGCTGCATCGCTTCGTGTATGGTGACCTGTACAGGATTAGGCGGCTCTAATACAGCCCCGTTCACTTGGAATTTCCTATCAAATACGTTAACGATCACTTCCCAGTTCTATGTCGACCCGTACACTACCATTGTCAGTGAGGATGATACCACCGAGATCGATAATGACGTCATTCGAATCGAGGTCTCGAGCAACTCCGGCGGTCTAGCCAGCAGCAGTGAATGCCTTGCCGCTAGCATATACCATACGTGAAAGGGAATCAGATACCCACCCGAGCAAGATGTTTCATACACACAAAACAACGCTCCATTATCACGACTCGAGGAATTGGCTCTTGTTTATACTTGGATCGTCAACTATACAGACGTTGAGGTCGGCTCCGATCTTCATGCCCTCCTTTCTAGTTACCTTCAATACTTCATCTGATCAAGTCACTGTAATACACAGCTGCAGACACAGATATGACCTCAGCGGTAGCTCCTGTGGCTTGATCGATATCCACCATGACGTCGAATGGTTCTCAGTATAACCTCTGAGTGATCCTATCCCCCAATATGCAGCACCAACATGACGAACACGACACGGGAGGGAATAGCTCGGTAACGGGCATAAACCATTAACGAGGCCTCTGAATAAAGGTTAACGCGTTATAATACAAAGTGCTGGGCGATGCTGCAGGTAGCAATCACTGAGACACAGCAGCAGCCATCAGAGCCGCTCCAACGCCCGAACCATCACTACTATGTACTGTATGAATGAGAGATGCCATGACATCTCCAACGATCTTACTGAATGCCATAGAGAGGCGATCTGGATACTGATACCCCTTGAGATAGAGAGAGCCGTCGACTCCTATTGTCAAACACCGAGGCATCCCGTGGTCCACGCAGACCTCTCGCATATGTCTTTTATTTTCCCGCCCAATGCCGCATTTCTCAGCGACAGCTGCCAGACCAGCAGCGCAGAGATTAGCACTTCTTTCTACCACAGCATCACCAATGGTGCGGAAAACAACACGTACAACCTGATCGTCGCAGTTCAAGCCGTCATCCTCTAGGGCAGCACATACGAATTTGGCATCAAGAGGCCCTTTAGTGAGAAAATCGGGTAACTGCTTGTTCGCTGCGTAGCCCTCAAGAACATCCAGACACGCCAGCCGAGTAAGCTCACCGAGATACATGCCGGAAATCGTCTTCTCATACAGCTGTTTGCCAGGATTTGGCGACGCCTCATCAACAGCTCGATCATATTCATTGAGGACCTTCTGAACGTTCCTGAAGTTGTATCCACCCCATTCAGTGTTGACGATCAAGTTACCAAGAGTAGGGTCAGAGTAAGCAGCATTGGTACCGGTACCAATGATCATACCAATCTTACACGTGCCGCAACCCTCGAACTGATAAGCGCAAGTCATCAATGTACCGACGGTATCGTTACACAGCGCCGCCACGCTAATAGGGACGCCCCGTTTCTCCATCGCTCTCGTTAGTAGTGCTGCCGGGTCCTCTCCAACCACTCCTGCTGTCGAGAAGCCTTTCGTCCACTCAACCAAAGTGCCGCGGTTGATAGTCTCCTGGCTCATAGGGAAGGAAAAGGTAAAGCCAGCAGGAATCACACCTTCATCCTCAAACTTGTCCGTCATCTCCTTCGCTGTGAGCGCTATGAAGTCGAACAAATCATCAGAGGTGCTACTCATAACGTCCTTCGGTATAGCCTTGCGATGTTCCGTCACTTCCGGCTTCTCTCCATGGCCGAGCACCACTCGGAGCACCCTAAGGTACGTCCCACCCAGATCGAGAGCATAGAAAACACCCTTCTCATATCCACGTGGGAGAACGTCTATGTGCGTGTTCAACATCTTGATGCTAGAGGCGCTAGAGGGAGCTCCCAATCCCTTACCGACTTCCCAACCAGCTCTCATTTCACGCAAAAAATCATCTTTCACCTCAACCAGCGTCGGTGCCGATACATCGAACTTGTCCAGAACTTCATCAAGCCGATTGGACACTTCGGCATCCAGGATGTCGGTCATTAACCGTAAACAGAGTAAGGCTAGCCAACTACAGGAGATCAGATCGACGTCAGATCGACACAACGTCAAGGAGTATTTGACTCCCTTGTCTGTCGCGGCTATACGACTCAGGCGAAGCGCTGGGAGACGAAAGCGCACAAAAAAACCAACCGGAAATACAGTACGATAACTAAGCAATCAACTACCAAGATTATCTACAGGTGTCCTCAAGCGTAGCACCCTAGACCCATCTAAGCTTCGCAATCACATTATAGAACGCCTACTGGCTGAACTACGCCAGCTGACAGTCATACTCACCATAAGTACTAAAGCAACGCAAGATCACGCGATGCCGCAGAGGTTATCATATCACAAACAAGCCACCTTATCACCAATTTGAAGAAAACCATTAACACAACTTCCCAACACAACTCCTAGGAATCCGTTGTAAGATAATGATGAATGTACGGTCTCTAATGACATCATTCACGCTAGACGATAACTAACGATGAAGTGACGTCTTGAGAAGGATCGCAGAAGCAGTAGTGGTAGTAGCAGTGGCAATACTTACACGACTCTTCACTATAAACAAACAAGAATATCAGATGCCCAATCACCAGGAGAAGGGCCGATGTTATGTAAGTTATTAACAGTAGTGGAAGCAGCATCGGTATCTCTCAAAGGAACGAACTAAGTGCAGTAGGCAGGTAACTTAACCATCGCCATAAAAGCTTATTAGATAAGGCACACATCCGACAATAACCATGATGGTAGAACTACCGAGTATAAGTAGATAAATTACAACAAGGGTACAACAGCATTAACTCATTGACAGTAATCGACCACTCGCAACAACAACAACTTATCGAGAGACGGCAGCGGCAACAAGGGCAGCCCCAACACCAGAGCCATCGCTACTGTGAACAGTGTGAACTAAAGAAGCGGCTGATTTACCAATGATCATAGCAAAGGCATCATCCAAACGCTGAGGATAACGATAACCCTTCTGATAGAGGGAACCATCAACACCAATAGTCAAAGACCGAGGCATGCCATGAACAATGCAAACCTCACGCATGTGACGCTTCTCATTGTCCATGATATCGCACTTCTGAGCAAGAGCCGAAAGCGCAGACGCACAAAGGCGAGCACTACGCTCAAGAACAGCTTCACCAATGCCACGGAAAACAGTCATGATAACCTCATCATCGCAACCGAGGTTATCGCCTTCCAAAGCGGCGCACACGTACTTCGTATCGAGGCCCGACTCGTTGAGGAAGTCAGGCAAATGAGCTGAATAGCCCTTGAGGACATCACGGGTGGCCAAACGGGTCAACTCGCCCAAGTACATACCGGAGATCGTCTTCTCGAAATACTGCCTACCCTTGTTGGGGGAAGCCCTGTCTACATCTTCATCATAGCAGTTGAGAACTGAAGGAACCTCCTTGAAGTTGTATCCACCCCACTCACAGTTAATGACCAGATTGCCAAGAGTAGGGTCCGAGTAAGCAGCATTGGTACCGGTACCAATGATCATACCAACTCTGCAAGTACCACAACCTTCGAACTCGTAGGAGCAAGTCATGAGGGTGCCGACAGTATCGTTACACAGAGCAGCAACATAAATCGGAACACCCTGCTCCTTGAAGGCCTTATTGAGCAACTCAGCAGGGTCCTCTCCAACAACACCAGTAGCGGAGAAACCCTTAGTCCACTCGATCACCTTGCCATGGTTGATAGCAGACTGGCTCATGGGGAAAGAAAAAGTGAAACCAGCAGGCATAAGATCATCATCATGGAATTTGTCAGTGAGCTCCTTGGCGGTAGCGGCAATAAAACCAAAGAGATCCTCAGCAGTACCACCCATAACATCATGAGGGATGGGCTTCCTGTTCTCGGCAATCTCAGGTTGCTTCTCACTGCTAAGCACAACACGGAGAACTCGTAGATTGGTTCCACCAAGATCAAGGGCGTAGTAGATGCCAGCCTCATGACCACGAGGGAGCACATTAATGTGAGAGGTAAGCATCTTGACGCTAGATGCCTCAGGAGGGGCACCAGCACCCTGACCGGCCTCCCAACCGAGCTTCATCTCGTCCAGGAAGTCGTCCTTAACCTTAATCATCACATCCTTAGAAACCTCGAATTTACCAACGGCTTCCGTCAAACGATCGGAAATGTCGCTGGGAAGCGTGGTAGAAACCATTGTTCTGGAAGGTTTGTAAAAACTGCGATCCAGTTTTGAAAGAGCACTCACAGCTAAATTCCAATTTCACAGCGGAGCGAAGGCCGAAAGATAAATTGCATTAGAAAAGCCACCACCGGTAATCGTACCTCGGACCTATCTCATTGCACGCGTAAAACATCATCGTATTCATCAATTTCCACAGCTTCCACAGCGTTGCTTAGCCGAGCAGTCCCGAGGGATGAATCTGGCTAGCCTAGATCCTCGACTCTAGCACAATGAGTATCTTCAACATGAATAGAATCGAATCAATCCGACTCTGTTGATGCCCGTTCGTGCTGTCCTTAGCCAGTCGTCTTCCGCCACGAGTTCTACGGGCAACACAATTGGTTGAAAAAATCCTCCAACAACTTCTACAGACTTCAACCACTGGGATGGAACAAACATTTAGTTTAAAACTAGTACCAAATGAGCTCTTCAATTAACAAAGACATGTAAGGTGTCGGAAAGGTTCTTGGAGTTTTGGAAAGATAATATCTCGACTCGATGGCAATCATCTATCTAGCGGGCCATGTTCTCTTGCATGCTAACCCGGACTGTGACACGCAGACCGCGATGTACGATGGAGAATCCAACAATTGGTAACTAGCAAGGATCTCAACTTGGAAGCTGTTTCGTTCGATGCGTAGTGAACATTTAGCTATGAACATCCCTCATTAACGTCACAATATCGCGTCACAATTTGTAGTCGCATGGTATATCGTATTATAGATTCAATGTCTTATACAGGGATGTCACCCTTCCAGGTGCATTGAGTAGCCATTTTCTCATTCGGGTGCATTGAGTAGCCATTTTCTCATTTGTAGCCTACTACAACGCAAATCTATTCTGGACAATTTCTGGTAAGGTTTGTTGTCAAGTATATATCTAATGGTCACTAATGAACATCATTGAGAAGTGGCGGTCATACCGCCTACCGTTATACTCTTGCGGGCTTCGTTCAAGACTTCCGCAACTCTCCCACCCAGTAATTCATCGTTGTCTCGCATCTTCAGCTCAACAACGAAGGTTGGTATTGATTTCAGAACGACTTTGAGCAGAGCGTGTTGCTTCAACCTGAGATCTACCACAAGTTGGACCGCTCCTTCGCGTAGGCTCATATAGTCTTCTCTCAAGTCTCCCTTTCTGTCTCGGAAAATAACATCTACGTCTTCTACTGTAGGCGCCTTTCGAACAGTTCTTTTCGCATCGGCATCCTTCAACAATAATGCAACAACAAGATGCCTTCCAGTCGGCCAAAAAACCCGACTTCCTTCCGGGTACTCGATGGGCAAATTTGATTCTAATGTCAACTCCCATAGCCACTCTTCTGCGTTCGTGCCGAGGTATACCCTCTGACTGACGAAACTCGACCGCTTCGGCGCTGCCGAGATCGATGGGAACATCTCGAAAGTGCATCCCTCGCACCATTTCCACCTGCTCATCTGTTCTTTCACAGATCTGGATAATCGTCTACCCGTCATGTCAATTTGCGAATCACATTTCGAGCACTTAGCCCCGTCCATACCACGCCGTGAGCTAATGCTATCGCCAAGCACACTGCTTGATTGGACAGATGGAGTGCGACAAGGTGACGATTCGTTTCGAGCATGCTCTTGATTATCAGTCTTGGGCAAGTTGTCGAGACTCTGCCTTCGCAGTGTTCCTTCTATTCTCAACAGTCGTGGTTCTGGAGGTTGCACTCCCTCAATTGTAAGTTGTGATGGCGTGCTGACGGTAGGCAGACCATACACAGGGACGTGCCGTTCTACAACAGGCTTTGGGTCGATAGCCGTCTTCCCTTTGGCCTCATTACGCCTGGCGATTTCGCTCTTCTCTAGTATACTGGCCATCGTTCGAGACAAATGAAAGCGCCTCCGGGCTGCTCGAGCCAAGTCCGCTAGCACCCTGCCATCGACAGGATACGCTCTTTCTGCTTTCTCGCAGACCGCTTTTGCCCGGAGTGCTTCCTGCAGTAGGTCACTATGAAACTGTCCCAATGGAGATCTCAGCTCGGTCACAGTCTTCTCGTCAACTTCACAATACGTTCGTCGCATAGGCGGTGCGCTGAGGATAGTAGGCGGGTCCTTCGTTTCAACCTTAGCCTCGGGCGAGTCCTCAAGGGCACCGTTCCCAACCTCAGACATGTCCGCAGGTTCTTCAACCAACGTCACTGGCCGCTCGCGGTTATGCTTGAATAACGTCTTGCACTCGTCAATGATGGTCTCAAGTCTCGTCGGCACGCCAGAGTTCCAGGCTGGCTTTGGCCTATCTTTATGGTGCACTAGAGAGTGAACTCTTTTTGCAGCTGCGAGATCCGCACCTTCCTGCGAGCTGTTCGCTGATATATAGGTCCTCGGTGCTCCTCTTATAGAAACGAAAGTCGTAGAACCTATAACACACACAGGATGAAGTGTAAGGACGAAGATTAACGTAACATCAACTGAAACCAGGCCTACTTGGCAGAGGAGAACTGCTCCCACGCTTCTGAACTCGGTCCGCTTCTTGAACCGTCCGTGTTGCAGACTCTAATGGTGTGGATGGCCTCATAGCTGAAGGCACCTTTCGATGTTCTGAATACGTCATGGTGGGCATAGGAACTCTCGGTGGCAAGCCGTACGCATGCGCAAGGATCTGAATGGATCGAATGATGGGCTCACCGACAACGCGAAGTCGCAGAGATTCGGTATTCACCTCTCGTGACATCTCGGCCACCGTTGCCCTTGGTAGATTTGAACTGTTCATGGCGTGTGCCAGAGCATCTATTCGGAATCCTGAGTGGACATCAGCCAGCCAGCCCCTCGGCAATGGGGCATCTTGCAAGCCCAGTAGGTCAATACTATGACCCCCTGTCTGTCCTATTGTATCCTCCACTACACTTTGTCTTGTTCCCCTGCCCATAAACTTGGGCAACTCTACCGGATCACTACTGCTTGTACTCGACAGTGAATAGACCTCGGAATCCGAGTAGCCCTCAAGGATATCCAACGCACTCTTGCCAATCACTGGCCTAGGAACAAACCGATTAAGAAGGACACCGGACGCCGTGTTGTGTGGGTCGGGCGGATCCACATCCTCCTCCTCAGCAGCGACCTCCTCTGCATTCAACTTTGACTGGGAGTCATCATCGTGATCATCAGAGGTGGGTTTATCCTTCTCCTCGCGAGCCCACCAGTCCATGATACCTCCCATTATCCCTTCGCGATTCTCAGAGACTTCCTTCGCTGGTGCAGCTTCTCCCACGTCAATCAGCGTGGGAGGCACCACTTCTACGCTCGCCAAGAAGTCGTCCCTCAAGACGCGGCCAGCCTCCTGGCGCGAGCTTGCGGTGGATACCCGCCGCTTCCGATCCATTACGACAGGAGGGCTCAATGAATGCGATGTTGCTCCAATGTCTAGACCGTGATGGGAGCTAGACTGTTCACCCACAGAAGGCGGTGGCTCCATATTCATAATAGAGCGCTCGGCACCACCACCATCTATAAGCCTCCCTCCAGTCTCGGTCGTATTCACTGTTGGTGATTGCCATACCCAGCCAGTCGCCGACTGCCAGTTCCTAGCTAGCAGATCCGTGAATCCCCCACCTTGTTGGTTGCCCTCCTCTGGAATAGGAGGAGTCTGATGAACGTCAATCAAGTCAGGTTGGGATCTCCTTAGACCTGGACCAGAGGTAGCAGCGCCACTCCCTCGCCTGGTAGATGACGAAGAGATCCGTGGGTACTCAATGACAGACTCGCCCTTCTCCCCAAAGGCCCCGATGCTGGCCAAGTCACCCAGCTCGATAACCTCAGGGCTATCCGCAGAAGAGGACGCCATGGCTACTCAGACTAGGAAGCCCAAACATTAAACTGAGGCACATCATGCTGGGTGCCAAGTTTATATCCTAAGCAAGCAGCGCGAAGTAAACTCTACGAGCCTCCGGCTAATATTTCGAAGCAGTTTTTTACGAGCGCCGCGGCCCATGTGGACGGAGCTCAGACCCTCGGATTGACAACATAACCAGTCGTTGATAAGAAGCCTGGCATATTGGTAAGAGTTAGCAAGAGTGCAAGAAACATAAACGTATAATAGCCAGTAGTAGTATTAACGTGATCCACTATGATCGTGGTGGGAGTATCAGTCAGTCGACTTCTGTGCCATCTGATTGCCAGCCATTCTGGGATTCGCCTTCTTCTTAGCCTTATTCTTCCTATAGCTTCCATGCTGAACAAGGAAGCCAGTACGCTCATCAGTGAATAATACAGCGGAGAAGCTCTCTGTAACCGAACAAAGGCGCTCAACAAATGGCAAACAGATTTCTCAACGACTCAGCTCAAGCGCTCCTACCAGTTTGGTGTCCATCCTCGCATTCTCAGTACGCATGACCTTGTAGTTATTAGTGCTCTCATCAAGAGCCGCCCGAATACGCTTCTTATCATGCTGGATGGCCGTCTCCTTAGCTTGCATATCATTCGCCCGAACCTGCCATACTCCCAGTAGAGCCCCCACAGCAAGGCAACACCCACATGTCGTAAGAAGGATGCGTCCTTCGTCAACTGCCGTTTGGCTCCTCTACGCTCCTGTTTATACTGTCTCTTCATCTTCTGCGTCTCATACAGGATAGGGTCCTTGCCTGATCACACCCATAACAGACCTCCACATAGGAAGACTACTTACCCTTGATGTGACTCTGTGCCGAGTCTGGATCGTAGAAAACTGGTTCCAAGCTGGGCACCGCTATAGGGCGGAAGGCATGCAGACGGAGCCTTGCATGCGGACCCAACACCAATCGCGACAGAGATGGGCAGTATCTAGAGAGAGAACGATGAAGGTCCTGGCGAGCTAGCGACTAGAGGCACTTCTGAATAACAATCTGAAGACCTGCCTTCTCCTCCGGGCCGGCCTGCATGCACACTCGTCGCGTCAGCAACTTCGCCGTTTCTTGCTCAGTCTGACACCACCACCCATCCATTCATGGCAAATACACAAGAGGAACTCCTCATTTCCTCTCAGCCAAACGGTAGGAGAAAGCGCATTCGAACTCACCTCGGTGCCACAGCGCATGAGGCGTCCTGCAAGCTGGAAAAAAGCTGGACTATATCGCTTCGCCGGCTGGAGGAATTCGTACCTACCCCACACTACGTCAGCGACAGCCGACTGACCACTCTCCCCTACAGTAGAGCGAGCAGCCTCATGTCTTGAGTACAGCACGCCCATTGCTCTAATAACATCAGTGCAGGCTGTACAACTCTGTGCCTAGATAGAAGAACATTTCCACCAGCAAGAACATGGGAAAATCACATGCGTACTACCTAATATCAGTGGTCTGGAATACAGTAGCAACAATATGCAACATATTGATGGCCTTAGCGTCAGGGCGTCTAGAGTTGGCGTAGGCCCCAATCAAGTTCATAGTGAAGTAACTAATGATGAGTATGATGAAATGTGAAACCAGGAATTAGTGTTACTCAGTAGCGCAGTCTGGCATAAGCCTAGCAAGGTCGATCAAGGGGGCTCGAATGAGAGGCAACATCCTTATCTCATGATCAGCGAGGTAAGAGAAGAGGGAGCTCAAGAGCACCTAATAATCGTACTAACCCTCGTAGACCCCAGCCCCGACCAGCACTACTACCCGCAGCTGGCGAGGCTCAGAGCGCTCATCTGGGGTGTTGTGGCAGGCGATGAGACGGAAGACCAACTTGGCTCGACCTGACCATGGTACATCCATTATAGAAGTGGTAAGCATCAGCATTAATTCAACTCACTCAGTGGGTCGAAAGTAGTAAGCAACTTCTCCATAGCATCACCATCTTGCGGACACGACACGGAGAATGGTAGACCCGCCTTGTCCTCCGATGCAGTGTTAGTGAAGGCGTCGAAGCCAACAGGGAGCTCAGTAGGGTATTGGACTGATGTACCCTCTTCAGCAACTGACATCCAGATGTGTTGTGATCGAATACTCCGAATTGAACTATAGTGTTACTACTACTACTACTACTACTACTACTACTACTACTACTACTACTACTACTACTACTACTACTACTACTACCACTACTACCACTACTACTACTACTACTACTACTACTATCACTACCCCTCTCTTCGGCAGTAGTGTACTCGTCCACAGCCTGAGCATCCTCATCATCGATATCAGAGTCGCTCTCATCGACCGCTAGCATGGCTAGCCTCTCGTTGTCATCAGCAGCAACAGCGCCACCGTCTTTCTTCCCTGTATCCTCAATATCCTGCCAGTTCAACAATGCCGACTAAATACGTCATACCACTCCACCAGTACCTCCTCCTCTTCCTCATCATCTTCGGATTCTACTCCAGCGGCCTCTTCCACAGCTTCTTCAGGCACCTGTGCTCAGCGAAATAACGAGCCACATTCTATCTTCTCTATTTTTGTCCAATCACGTCGAGCGGTAACTTACCTCGTCTCTTTCTCCCCCCTCCTCATCGAAGGCAGCATCCTCATCTTCTTCTTCTTCTTCTTCTTCACCTTCCTCCTCCTCTCCCTCACCCACATCTTCTTCTTCCTCTAGCGATTCTTCTACGCTAGGCTCATCGTTCAGCATTCTATTCTTTCTTTGCTCCTCCAATTTCTCGAGTCGTTTAGCATTCTCCAAAGCCACCTCTTCTGAACTCATCAACCTAAGGAGGAACTATCGGCATCTGCTACTGAGACATGCAGCAATGCGACCGAGTTTCGCCAGCAACGCGATACAGAATACGATACAAGATATAAGCAAGACAACGGAGACAGTGCCCGTCAGACGTCAATGCCAAAGCTTCCTCATTAGAAACTACACCGCTTCCTTTACAGACTAAACGCTCATGCCTGGACATTTCCCAGGACAAAAAAAATCCTCCTCTGCTTCGCTACCAGCAGCCGAGACAGCTACTCCTCGGAAGTGTTGGTTGATTCTTAGTCAGAGTACAGGAACGACTAGACTCACCTATCAGCAGCCTTGGCCGAATGGCCACCCTCCATCATCAACTGCTTGCTGATCATATCGAACTCATCCGGCCCCTCAGACGACAGAGCGTTGGCCGCCTTTATACCCTACGACGCAAACACTGTTAGTAACCGTCTTTGGGCGTTCAACCTCCCTCACCTCAATACTGTACTTGTTGGGTCTGAACTTCAGGGAGGGTAAGATTCCCTTGTAGTGAGCATCTAAAGCATTGAGCTCTTCTTCCTGAAATTACAAGATAAACCTTATCTCGGCCAGTACGCCTCCTTTAAAGGGCTTATCCTGAGCACTACATGCTTCATCTTCTCCCTCTGTCTGTCCGCCTTGTATGCCTTAGCCTTAGCCATGATCTCCTGGTAGAGGTCCTGCTTGTTAGCATGCTTGCCGTGTTCAGTGGTCTTCATCAGCTGATCAGACAATCTGCTACAACACTCAGATGCCTACATCCCACCTCAGCCTCTATCTCCTTCTTGAGCTCCTCATCGTCATCCGAGTCGCTGAGTGGATCCCCGCGGAGCTCATCAGCCGTCATGGTCTTCACTGGTTTTCCACCGTGTGTCAGCAGGTTATGCTACCACATTCAATATAACCAACCGATCCTAAGTGCATCCCTCGACATACCTCAACACCCTCAGCTGAACCCTCTCCTTCTTCCTCATCTTCCAACCCAAATGCTGCATTACGCTTCTTCTTGCTCTTCTCCTGTTGCCGGATTCGCTCCTTCCGGAAGCGTGCCGACGCCAACTCGTCCGCCGTCATGCCTCGGGCCTTCGCGTCTAATCGCCTGTCAAACCACACATTCATCATCACAATCAACATGGTGTGATTGATTGGAAGAACTCGTAGCTGTCACTAAGTTATTCATGAAAGCAAACACGACCACTATGTCCGAGTGGGGTCGCTATGCCACAATGGGGCCACCATATCTGTGTGAGGCCGCTATGCCCGATTGAGGCCACTATGTCCGAGTGGGGCCGCTGTGCCAGAATGAGGCCACTATGTTCGGATGGGGCCGCTACGCCAGAATGGGGCCACTATGTCTGTGTGGGGCCGCTATGCCCGATTGGGGCCACTATGCCAACACAGGGCATCTCTGCCCGAGTGGTGCCACCATAACCGAGTCAGGCGTTTGTGTTTCACAAACACATATTCCTAGTCGCGTATATGAACCTGTCGTCCGTTGGCATAGCGGCCCCATTCCATCAATAGGTTGATGCATAGTACTGTGGTAAGCTACACAATCGCGAACAGATAATATCATAGTTAAATCGCCATGAGGAGGCCCTGGACAAAATTACCTGTCCTTGAAGGAACCAGTCTTGCCAAGGGCTCGGAATTCCTTCAGCAACGAGTCCTTACGGGATGTCTTAGCGTAGGATTTACTCTCCGACATATTTCGACGCGATCCATGTTGCTGCGCCTGTGAACAGAGAGAACTTCCACGACATCGCAATCCCTACACTGTCCGACACGCTTCAAACCAACCAATATTACCATTCCCAATACGGGCTTTCGAGCCGTCTTGTTGGCCCGCATGTCGAACTGATTGAAGCCTGAACCATCAGAGGGCCGTTGACGGTCTCGGCTCGACAGCTTGTTGGCCGTCTTCTTGGTCGGCATCGGCTTGAAGCTGTACCAACTGCACAACTCCAACTGCGGCCCCTTCAATAGGCAAACTCAACCACCAATCATGCGATCGCCAGGAGAAACCTTCCAGTAGTAATGTGACGTGAAGCTAGTTGTGTTGTAAGTAGTGACGTATACGCAGCGGATGCGGCCTCCCTCTACATCTAGTCCGAGTCGGTACCACCATCGACATCCATTCTCTGGACCTTCTCTGCTTGAGCCGGCAGAGCTCCTTCCTTGCGTTTGAGCTCCTCCCGACGCTTCATCTGGTCCAGCTTGGTAATCGGCTTCTTGAGGAGCTCGCCTAATCATGAATACGTGTTCAGTCCTAACCCCAACTCCCGCTTGACTACCCTGCTTCGCGATCTCCTTTTCGGCAAGGTGAATGCGGACCTTCCTCTGTGCAGCCAACCTGTTCTTCTGGAACCTCTCCTTGCGTACCTAATACCAACGTTAATCTAGCACATCACCTACTATTGCTACCGTTCTGATGCGATCAACGATCTTCATCGCTCGGACTGTCTTCACCCACAAGTCGCGATCGTATTTCACCTAGATATGGAAACATGACCCACCGTATACTCATTTATCCTACAGGAGTGTTCCTCTTCTTCTCGAAGTCGAAAGTAGAGTCAGTAGTCATCTCCTTACCATGGGCAGCCCTAGGAAACATATCTCTGCTGACCCACGGGGACTGATCGCTTTACCTGTATGCCTTGGTCCAGGCAGCCTTACGAGGGTTGTGCTTCCGCTTGAAGTGACGATGGCACTTCGATCGGCAGAAACGGAAGATCTGAATAGAAGGCGACTGGAGCACTCTGTCGCTTCTGCCTATCACGAGTACCTTGCCGTCATTCCGTACGAACATCACACCATGACCAGGATAGATATTACTACTGCAGTACCAGCACTTCTCGATACGCATACTACTGAAATTTACAGGGAGCCAACTGAGAATCCGGCAAGTCGATACGGAGCCTCGAGAAAGGTGCAAGAGTATTCGTGCACATCAAGCAATAGCATCCACTGCGGGAGGGCTAAAGAGGTTGCGAGGAGCAATTATGAGCGGCCACAATTCGCCTCCCCGTCTACAACTTGGGAGAGCTCGGGCGAGCGCGGGTGTCTTCGACGGAGCGAAGTGTGTCCGATTCCACGTTTTTGTGGGAGTGAATTATACGCTCCGGTACTGAGTGTACTGGTAACCTGTTATCTCTACGGTCCGTTCATCTTCCTAAATGCTGACAAGTGCGGAATATATATTCTTCGTTGTGTACGACAATTCGTCTATAATAGTTCTTCCTAAAGTATGTCAACCGTCGCGCGTCGGCGACTGATTCGAGATCTCAAGAAGCTTCAACAGGACCCACCTAGCGGCGTTAGTGCGGCTCCAGCCACGGACGATATCATGAGGTGGACTGCGGTCATGTTCGGGCCAGAAGATACGCCATGGGAGGGAGGTAGGACGAAAGAGCGCAATGGTTGGGGACACCGTGTCACACTGGAAGGTACCTTCCAACTCGAAGTCACGTTTAGTGAGGAATTCCCGACCAAACCTCCTCGAGTGCGGTTTCTCAACCCCATGTTCCATCCTAATATCTACACGAATGGCGAGATATGTCTCGACATACTCCAGAACCAGGTATGAATCTTCATCGCTGAGAAAAAGATACGCTAGTCGAGAGAGGACTTTGTGCTTATCAGTGGTCTCCTATATACGACATAGCCGCCATTCTAACGTCTATACAGTCATTGCTATGTGATCCCAATCCTAACAGTCCAGCGAATAGCGAAGCAGCTAGATTATGGAGCGAGAACCGGAGAGAGTAATATCATATCGCCTTCCATTCTCTAGCCTAGTAGTCCTACTGTGCGCAGGTATAATCTCAAGGTAGTGCAGTGTGTTGAAGACTCCTGGGCAGTTGCCGATGAATTGACGAAGGATATGAGTGACATTGATGAGGAGTAATAGAGGTAATGGTTTGAATGCATAACAATAAGTGTACAATTTGTTTCCAACTATACTTGTGCTTTCCCTATCAACTATCTCGTGTTGGCCTATGGGTTGGTCAACTGCTTTTTCAAGGCAGTTAACTTTAATATGTCGTCATACTGGGCTGTTCGTAAGTCTTCCTCTCCAGCGAGTCCTCAGCATCTTAGAGAACGCTTTCGTGAGATGCCCAAGAACAGTCACATTTACTCATCCTCCAATTTGAGACGTTTGGTAGCCTCCCTTCCTCATCCGTTCGCCGCGCGAGGGGCACTTGTGAATTTTTTCAGATTCGTGTTCCTATCGCTCCCGATTATGATGAAGCTTGTAACACTCTTGCCACACATCCCGAGGATCAGCCTGAGTGAGTCCCTTGATCAGTCCAACCTGTCAGTAGGAATTATCCCTCAGATTTGGCAATCGGAGAAAGGTGAGGACCGAGGAGGTCACCTATGGAACCCCAACTGGTCACAAGAGCCTTCGTTTGGACTTCCTCCAAAGCCATGAGGAATCCGACGGCTCCTCTGTGGCATCAAGTAAGCTGAGGTGTGGTATTAGTAGGGGTAGAATCATTCCTCGAACAGGCTAACGAGTCGGGTAGTTACTTATCGATATTAGTGGGCATGTGCTCCCACAAGCCATCCAAGTTTTTAGTGATAATGTAAGTAGCGTTCTCGCTCTCACATGCTACCGGTTCTCTTCTCGAACATTGTTCGTGTATTTCCCAGGTTCCCATTTCGCTACCGTTTTATTGATTTTGAGGAGCCTCCTTTTGATTAAGGTGAGCTCTGAAGAGTCTATAAATAGCTGTCCCAGGATTCGAACCTGGGTCGTTCCTATGATAGTGTCCTGTAGCCATACTTACTGCTTGTTCCACCTTATTAGCCTATCATTTCTGAGATGAGCTGCTGTCCACGGAGCCGTCTCTCCTTGATGCAGCCTATACAGATCAGCTCATCTCCTCCAAAGAGCGCCTCACCGTTTTTCTGACCCAACAGGGAACCGTTGGTCCGGCGACGCTCCGCGGTACCAAATTATTTTGATCAACTGTGCTCACCGACAACTTGAACTTGTCATCTCACGGAGATCCAGTTCTGGTCGTTCTCGCCTACGCGGTGATGCCTTGATGCGGTTAGCACATGGCAAGCGGCGACGGCTCTTTTTCTGGTGCTACTGCTCTGGCCTTATAGTTTATGGTATTTTTTGTCCATCGGCGTTGCAGTCCTCAGCCGCCCACAGTTGATAAGATGTTTAATAGTGTTTCTCTTGGCTCGTTCGGGACTTGGATTCTCGTCAATCATTCGTCTAGAGATGTCGGGCTATTGGAGTGGGGTGGATCCACTTGATAGTGTGTTGATGCTGATACTGTCAGTTCAATCTTCAATGGAGGGGAAGTTCAACAAGAATGAACGGGAAGTAGCCAGTAGCGCTTGCTCGTCCGCTTCCAGACTGAATTCGTGGGAGGATCTTTCTGAAGTGAGCGGAGAGCGTGGGGCTCCTTTCTGTGCAGTACCGCAAACGTACCTCTTGGAGTGTCGCGATTTCATAGAGATGATACAGCATCAGTGATAGTGCCCGTACGTGGCAGGAAACTGAGCCGAAATCCCTCCGCCGATCTCAGTCAGCCCGAGCATCACAGTCGAGCCCCAGCAAGGCTGGAGAAAGTAGATTCATGTAGGCTATATATGTTACTGAGTCGAACAGAGGCCAACTTGGTCACCTCAGGCTACCTGATCGGCCCGTGAAGACTGCCTCTGTTACCACTATCCCATCACTCACCGACATTCGTATCAGAATAACTGAAAAAGCGGAGGTGTCGACTGATCCTGCGCAGGAAGCTGTGAGCGACTACTGGTTATTGTGTAGAGCTCCATTGACTGTTGTTCAGGATGTTCATAATGCAGAGCTCTGTGCTAGACTGAAGCGTGTGGAGGATAGAGTAGAGAGGATCCGATCGAGTCTAGGGAAGTCGGCCGAGTGAGTACTGTCATCGTTGACTGCTTTTATAGTGTGGAATACAGAGTCCGTGATACGAAGATGGGTGGGCACGGGATAGCTAAACCCTTCAAGCTCTGTAACAGAAGATTGATACCGGAAGGGAGTCGACCTTCATCACCACCTGGAAGATCCCGAGCCCATCCTGTTGATGGCGATCATCGGGAGCCTTCACTGGTGCAGACTCCCGTGCGTCTGATATCACCCGATTCACTAGAGGCAGGGTCTAAGCAAGTAGAACAGCTCAGTCATGGGGCAATGTTCTGTACGTGGTAGTCTTTCAGGTGGGACCAGATTCTGGATCAGTCGGCTCGGTTGTGAAGGCATCGAGTGCAATAGAACGATGTGTGGATAGGCTCTGTTCGAAGCGGATGCGGGATTATGCTGATCTGAAGACCATGTCCCCCGAGTGTCGCAAGGTGAGCACTCATCAGGGTACGTACTCATTGTGAGTACTACTACTGCTGAATCAGGCAACGCTACGGCTTTTTGAAGGGATGTCCGTCGATTTGGACAACTTACGGCGACAGATCAGGTTGGTCGGTCTTCTCATCACGCTATACACTGTTCGCTTAAATGCACATCTCAGACAAGAGCTGGCCCGTCTGCGTGGCGATGAACTAGATAAGGACCAACTTCTTCGCCTTCCCGAACGCCCGGCTACCAATCGAGCTCTTGAAAAACCGATCAGATTGGTAGCTCCGGCCAAGGTGGGTTTTGGTGGCGTATTGTGCATCTCTGTACTTGGAGAATCTGTTCAGAAAGTAGCTCGGTCCTCTCCCCAACCGTCTCCGGCAGTGGTGGGCCCGTCACCGACCCTGTCACCAACGTGTCACCACATGATGCCTGATCGGCCGAAGAAGAAAGGACGTGATGCAAACCCTGTCACGAAGTGTGCTGTACAGTCCCAGTCGAGGCCACTCTGGACTAACAGAGCTCCCGAGCCGGACGATAGTGTACTGCTGCCAAATCGCCTCACGCCGCAACAGCAAGTGAGGCTACAACATGAATAGGGGGGGACGTGCTTGTCATTTCATGTGTGCTGTGCGATTCATGATGAATGGGGTTTGCAAACTTCGTGGAAAAGTCTAAGACGTTGTATATTGTTGGTGATGTATCTTTCGGAACTGGAACCCCAAATTTTTGTCCCCTATGCCACGGAGATTAAACATAAGGATTTTGAGATTCCCGATTTTCGGAACATGGTTGTGAGGAGAGCCTACCGAATGGCGTAGTCGTATTGAATATGATGGTTGATCACCGACGTTGGAGCTGTCCTTTCAGATGGTGTTGTCGCCTTATTCCAGAGGTAGGAGGAGCATCCATTGCCGGTGTAAGGACGAAGAGCCTTGAAGACGCCTTTGCATGCATGTCCATTAGCATTGATGTGTTACTAAAATGTACACGTTGTTGTTCACTTATCTAGCGAGGTCGAGTTAACGTGCATTCCGACTGATTATATCTACCATCGCAGGGTGGGGGAGAAATCATAGACGGGCATTTTCCACGGATGTAATATTCACAACACAAAGGGGTTGTAATGACGTCTGTTACTGCACGCTTACCATCCAGCCTATCATGAGTTGAGTGGTGGTGATACATCTCAGCTATGGTGACTCGCTCCTTCTCGTTGTTGGTTCGGCCTCCATGTCCGCATTAGCTGGAAAGACTCTGCTCACTCAAGACGGTACCGAAGTGAAGGCTGACGATGTATTTTCCCAGAAGGATAAAATTGCTCTGTATGCGGTACTTACTATCACTACAGTTTTCAATCGAGGGGGCTCAGATACTTTTCGGCACACTGGTGCCCCCCTTGCCGCAAGTTCACTCCTATCCTCAAGGAGTTCTATGAAGTCAGTGCTTGTTGCTTTTAGGTCGGCATAGGTGTATGTCATTCCAGGATGTGAAGGAAGAGGATGAGGACAAGTTGGAGATCATCTTTGTATCCAGCGACAAGTCAGAAGAGGAGCAGGTCGGCTTTAGAATCTTCGCTGCGGTTTTTCTTCATACTGCGCACTGTGATAGGTTGAGTACCACAAGCAGGATCACGGCGAGTGGCTGAGAGTGCCATATGGGGACGTTGAGACGAGAGACGCTCTGAAGAAGGAGTTTGGAGTGTGCGCGGGGATAGAAAAAGAGAACCTTGGCATCATCAACAATCACAAATCTGGAATACCATGTCTAGTTGTACGCCGAAATGCCGGAGTTGTCGATGCTGCTACTGGGGGCGTGGCTCAGGTTCTTGATGAGGACAAGCAAGGCGTGAAGGTCTTTGATGGTGTAAATGACGTGAAGAACATGGGCCCAATAGCCGTCGATATGAAGTGGTGATTATGATTACACTATTAATGCATGCAGCGGGGTTCACCTGTTCTTCTTGTTGTTGTCACAGTGGGGTAAGGAGAGCATCGATAGCTACTTGCCCTATAACAGGTATAGGTCGCAGTGGTAGTTGTAACATATTGCTCACCTGAATGCAATCTCGCTCGGCTCGAATAGTAGTAGTTGAAGTATAAGTCCTCATGCATAATGTCATTCGAACTCTCGGTGCTCACCTCTTCATTTACGGTCACCACAGCTGCGGCTTTCCCACCATTACAGAGGCTTGAGGTACCGGCAGGGCGGAACTTCTCCCATTGGACTGCGATTTGAACAAATTATGGTACCCGCGATCTACAGAGAGAATTTACTTTTCCGGTATGATTCCCTGTTCGTACTCAAATTGACTCGGGATTTGTTCGGGGACCTACTATTGCATGCTCATGCAAATTTATATCCTCCAATGATGTCGGCGGTGCCATGATGAACACTAGCTGCATCATTGCGAGTGCCATAATTGGCTGTATGCCACTAGAGCAAGCTAGAGGCGGATCGAGTCTGTTGAAACCCGATATAGGGGTTCGCTTGTGTATCCACAGATTGCGGGAGCATCATAATGCTCAACGCAAGTGGTGATCCCAGCGAGGCTGGGCGCGCGCGGACGCTAAAAGCGGAGCGATGCACGTGGATGGTCCCGATTATTAGACTGCCGTGAGCACCATATTCACATATCCTCATGTGCATGGTCAGCAGCGCTATTGCATCCGCGTTGTTTTTTTCTACAGAAATCCTCAGTGTTGGTGCTGTTGTGCCTTACCTTGGACATTTGACCTGCCAACACTCTCAGTGGTAGCACACTTTCAGTATCGCTCAGGTTGACGTGTTTATGCTCGAAGGACTACCATACACCACCGATGTCTTGGGAGAGCTCTGAGTGAGGTTGCGTTGAACCCCAGCTGTTCTTCTGCAGTTTCTGTTCCTGTATTGTTCTTTGTCGTAACTGGTCCAATTATATATATGCTGTCCCCGTGTTCACCAAAACCTAAAGCGCAACCGTCCATTTCGAAGCTCGACACGACTTCCTGCTCTGGCTCCGAGACCTATTCCAGTGCCGGCGGCGGCTCTAAGAAGGACTGCGCCTCAGAGGAAGAGATGGAGGTCCTCCTCAGGGCCTCACAGTTCAAGGAAGGTGTTAAGGGTATCGAGAGCCATGACTACTTCTGGGACCATCCTACGATACACGACGGGTCTATACCGGTGGGACCGAGTGGCCCCTTGGATCCTCGAAAGCCCTCCTCATATAGCCCATTCATAGCTCAGTGGGTCAAATGGATTCTAACTATCGTCGAGGGGGCCGTGATAGGAATATGTCGTGGCGTCATTCTAATTGGTTCGCATTGGTTACTCGTTGGCAAAACTGATGCTATGATCCACTGGCTCAAGTCTGATAACCCTGGTTGCGCTATGCTCATCTGGATAGCCATCGGCGTACCACTCATCTGCTTCATCGGCTGGGGTGTCTCCTACATGTCCCCTCTTGCGGGTGGTAGCGGCATCCCAGATGTGAAGGCTTATCTCAATGGCGTCATGGTGCCCAAGCTGATGAGGTTCTGGGGGATAGTCTGGCGTATCCTTGGTCAGATAGTAGTGGTCGGCACTGGACACTATGCAGGTACTACCCAACACGTTCCGACTATATCCGTTCGATATTTTGGTTTTTTTTAGGTAGTGAGGGCCCTATGGCTCATCTTGGTGCGATCGTTGGTGCTGCGGTAGCACAAATGCATGCAAGGAACAAATTCTATTTGAAAGCGCTATTGCCGTTCTCAACACAGAAAGTTAAAGATGAGTTCGTGTCGATGGGCGCCGGCATGGGTGTAGCGACAGCCTTCGAGGCTCCTATTGGAGGTATGTTGTTTACAATAGAAGAAGCATCAACATACTGGCCACGCGAGCTGTACTGGAGATGTTTCTTGGGCTGCATCATCGCTAGTTATATGACTCGGTTGACAGCGCAGTACTTTCAATGTAAAGTGGAGGGTTCATGTGTCAACCTTGCTGGTGGTATGCAGTTCCCTAATGCAGATGAGAGTTACTTCCACGTTTGGGAGTTTGCTTGCTTCATCCTTCTGGGTATATTCTTTGGCCTCATGGGTGCTACCTTTTGCCAGGGCGTGCGCTACTTCCAATACTACAGACGCGTATTCTTTCATCTTTATTCCAACGGTAAGGATCGTCGAAGATTTGGGCAAGTGGTCGAAGCTGGTTTGGTCATGATCATCACTATTCTATTGGCTTATGGTGTATCCTGGTCGGAGATGGGCGCGTGCAAACCACTGGATGGTCAGAGTTACATACCGAACGACGGCATTCAGGCGGCTATGTGTGATGAAGGAGTCGATATGGGCTACTATAACCCCTTTGCAGCTATGCTCCTCACTGATAGGGACACCTCAGTGAAGTGGCTATTCTCACCTCGACTAGGCGAAGCGGAGTTCCCACAGGGACAGTTGGCGGCTGCTGGCTTCATCATATTCTTCCTCACTCTACTAACATATGGTGTTGCCATCCCTGCTGGTTTGTTTGTCCCCAACATCATGTTGGGTGCCTGCTTTGGTCGACTCTTCGGTCTGTGGGTCGGCGACTGGGCCTCCAACCCTGGTGTGTACGCTGTTATGGGCGCTGCTGGTATGATGGCTGGCTTTACTCGTATGACCATCAGTCTTACAGTCATCGTCATCGAGCTGGTTGGAGACTTACGACTGCTTCCTGCAGTGATGGTTACTGTAGTTGTGTCGAAGCAAGTGGCTGATATGTTCAACAAGGGAGCGTACGATATAGTATCTGAGCTCCGTGGGTACCCTTATATCGAGGAGCTCAGTATTTACGATGAACGTAATATGGCTGGTCGTGATGTAACCTATCGGATGTCAGCGGCGCCCTTGTCTGGTTTTGGCGAAGTTGAGAGTCTGGGCAGAATCCAGGAGGTGCTCTCGAGCTGCACTCACAATGCTTTCACTATTCAGGATCACAGTCACAGGCTTCTAGGTGTGGTGATGCGGTCCAACATCGTTGATTGGGTAAAGGGACAGGGTGGTGTCGTCTCGGCTAATACTCGACTGAACTTGCTCGATCTCACGAACCGCACCCCGACAATAGTGTCAGAGCTAACACCATTGGCTCAAGCCTATACCATATTCCGTAATTTGGCTCTGCGACATATGATTGTGGTGGATAAGGACGACGCTAATCGTGTGGTTGGTATAGTTACTCGGAAGGATATCGTTGAAAGCATGGAGGATGCAGCTGAGGATTATAATAGATCCAAAGATGGTGATGATACCATGTCTCAACGTTCCTCAACGGCAGCAGCCTCTTGTTCCCTTGATGGTGCCTTGTGATCTACTACTGGTCATACCGCTCATAGCTCATGATCCTATGCTTGCACTCACGTCCTTGTTGTCGCCAGTTTGGTGGCTTATCGCAACACGCAACGTCGATGTCGCTATTTCTACTACTCTGCAATTGTGCTCAAGTATCGACTTAGTAATTGTTTATCTTCACTTCAAATCTGTTCAGAAGTGGGCGAAGGCTTTTCCCCGCGTGAGTAGCGGCTGGCTATCTCGTGTGATCGCCTCCCTACTCCGATTCCTCGTATTTCCTCCCCTTGTCGCTATCAACATTCTGTGATTGGAGATGACAGTATCATCGACGATAACGGTTCCGAAGTCGTTGATCGCTCAGTGCTCTACTTCTCGAGTTCATTTTGCGCGACACTGGAGTTCTCTAACACTTATAGTATCCAATAACAGAATTTTGTGGAGTTCGTCAATGTCTCACTACGTTCGTTTATCGCATTTCTCCAAATTCATTTCCCGAAGCTCCATTGAGCATCAAATACTCTATCCTAAAGATTGGAGATTGCGGCCATGGAGGATGTACAGGATGGTCATACTTCAGCCGCATAAGACATGCTGTCATAGCTATGGAGTTCCATGCTATAATCCACCTCCGTTCGAGAGCTTTGATTACTCTGTTGATGAGCCTTTGAAGCGTTGTGGTACTCTTTTGATCTTTCTTACCTGGACCCCACACAAGATGGATCCAATCTGCCACCACCCACGAGTCAACGTGTTGATTGTTTACCTGTTGGTGATTTCGGTAAGGCTTCTAGCGTCTCAAAGCCGTAATGGAAACCCTTGTAGCCTAGATACACATTCAGAATATATCTCGTTGACAGCGATGCTACCATTTTCGGACCATAAGATCAAATATTATACTTGAAGTATGAGCGGCATTCGGTTTTCTCTGGAAGATTCATTTCGACTACAACATTTCCTGGTCCAATAAAAATAATTGTAAATCAAATCCAACGAATTTCACGCTAAGTTGAGGAGTGTTGCCAAATTCAAGTAATTGTCAAGTCGAAATCATTTTGTCACCGAAGATTCTGGCTGTATGTCAGGATGTCTCTCAACAGTGTGCGGACAGTGTACGCTGTACAGCCTACATGGCAAGTTCTTAGGTAGCGGTTCCCGAGGCCCTACAACTCCATAACGTTGAACTCATGTAATACATGATAACACTCAAGCTGAGTGACTCAAGCTGTTGATCCACAACAACTTTAATGCATGATCCAATCTGGCTGGATATAAGTTATATTATTAACCTGTTTCAAATACCGTACTTTATGTTGCCCTCAGCGAGTGATAATATCACTCGCTGAGGGCAACATGAGGTACCTACGAGGTGTTGCTTCTGGTCCCTTTCATAGTCAACCCAACAGTTAGTGATGGTGCTTGCGGTAGTGGAGATAACAAAGAGAATCAAAGGTTGATACACCAATCTATATTGTACTTGCGTGCTACAGCTAATAGAAAATGCTGAAGAATCACAAGGAAACAAGTTGGTACCATACCTAATCCGCGTACAGCAACACTCCGGCCAGGGCCAGAATTGGAGCTGATCGCTGACATAGACTTTACCGCACGATTTGGGATTCTACTGAACAACAGACGGATAATAACAGAAAGAATTCAACACCTGACGATGTTGAGACAATTAACAATTCTATCGAAGCTCAATACTAGTCTAATCTCAGCACCTCACCTCAAAGAAGCATACTGCAGCCGTCGCAAGCTCAACCCACTCATCTTCACTGCCAATCCGTGCTAGTCGCTGTGGCTAGAGGAATACTCGCCTCATCTGGTAGTAGTCGTAAATTGCCGACGAAATGGCGTCCCAGCTTCTTCTGGTCTCTGTCCTCGAGTTCGACCAAATACTTGGTAACAACACCGCATACTCGGAAAGGACCAGTCATCATAGGATCTAACTTACGCCTCTGGTGACGCACGAGCATCACGTGTTGTCCCACGCGCAACTCGGGAACTCGACGTCCGGGCTGGCGTGCCAGTGACGCCTCGCTCTTATTCCTGAGAACGTAGTTGTGGATAGTATAAATATCGAAAGTAGATGCATAGACTCGTTGCATATTCTTAACCATAGACCGAACAACATCACTCTGAAGAGCTGCTGGAAATCCTTGAAGAACATTAGACCACTTAGTAGCTTGTTCCGACAATCGACGTGGTTGTAGCGAGGTAGGAGCAGTAGCACCGTGATGGAAAAAGAGATCAGCAGGGGCAACGGGACAATTCACATCACTCGGAACATTGTTATAAGCCCACACTGCACATGGAAGCAGGCGATACCAATCACGGAGCTGTAACCCCGAATCTTCGATGATAGTGCGCATGATGTTGTTCAACAAACGATGGGGTATTTCTTGCCAAGAATTCAGCGGAGACGAATGAGCAGGTAAGAATTTCCAATTCCATTGGAAAAGCTTCTGAGCTGCCAATCCAACTTTCGATAGGAATCTACCATCGCGATCACTTATTATTAAAGATGGGAATCCAACGGAGAAGAAGCAGTCCACCAGCGTCTCCAGAGTAGAATCAGCATCATGGCAGAACAATGGTCTTGCGATTACAAACTTCGACGCCGAATCGACCAAGACCAGCGCGTACTCAACCTTGTGAGGTGGGTCATCGGCCAGAGAAGGAGAAACAAAGGGACCTATAAGGTCCACTCCGATCATCTCCATCGGTATAGGACTCTTAGAGGGGACTGTACCCAATCCTCCGGCCCGCAACACGCAAGAGCCCTTGAACTTCACGCAGGTGGCACAGTTTTTTGCATAACGTCGAGCATCTCCCGATAATCCAGGCCAGTAAAAGTCTCTGCTCAGCAACCCTGGCAACTTCGATGTCCCAATGTGACCATAGATGGTATGGATGCGATCGACAAGGCTTCTCCTGCAACTCTGAGGTACAAAGACTTGGACATGGTCGGCAATAACTGGATGTTTCTTAACCAATACATCGCCGTAATGGTCGTTGATAACATGATACATGTCCTTGTGACGATCGTCGTTGCGCTTGATGGCTAACTTGATGTGGGTTACCTCGTCGTCACTCTCTTGAGCTCGCCGTATCCTTTGTAAGACATCGGCGATTTCTGTAGCAGAGCATTGGTTCTTGAGATGGGACAAGAGAGGAGATGCATTCCCAATAGTCGTAAGGGCCAGTGGAATCTGGAGGGGATCAACACTTCCTTCCTTGATCGCCGTGAGAGTCGTCCTTAAACACTTGTAGTCCACTGCATCACTTGAGCCCCTTGATAAGCAGTCGGCTGGGTTCAGAGGTCCCGGTATAAACCGCAGAGTAAGGTGCAAGTCGTTGGCCAACTCAATGATAGAGGCAATACACGTTTTTTCCCATGTTGGTAGATCCGGTGAAGGACTGCCATCTCGTAGAGCCTTCCTGACACGTTGGAAGTTGGCAGAATTGTCAGTATAGACATACAACTCTCGAGTGGCTTCCTGTTTGGAGAGATTAGGAAGTAGTTGCTGCTTGACGAGGCTAAGACCATATCTAAGGGATAACAGCTCCTTGCGCACGATGGTCCATGGGAGATGTGGTAGCTCATGTAGCATGGCTTTAGCATACACCCTGTTCATGTTATTGTCGAGAACAGTACACCCATGAGCGTAGCTTGAGCTATCAACGAAGACGTGTAGAACTTGATGGTCAACCATTCGAGGGACAGGCTTCGGGCACTTGAGAGCTTGGTAGACTTTGTAGAATTCACGATACAAAGGGCCTGGTAAGAGTTGATCAAATGTGATGCCACATCGATGAGCATAGCGAAGTACAAGTTTGCCACGGAGCACGGTTTCAGCGACGGTACCAAGTGGGTCATAAATGCTGGCAAGCCACGATAGCGCTTCTCGAAGGGTTAGTGGAGAGACGGACTGGAAGACATTTGAGCTGAGATTAGGGACATCACTCGACTCTAAGATGATGGGAGGATCAACATACTGAAGGACCGGTGACGGTAAGTCACGTATAGGCATGACTTGTAAACAATCAGTAGGACCATCCCACAGCATTCCAAAAGCTTTAACACGCCCAGTGTGATCCTCATGACACTCCTTAGCCGGACCGAGCCAAAACCCGTGCGAGCCGAAGACCGATCTAGTTTCTACAACGACGGTGTCTCTGGTAGAAGAATCATTAGTAATGATTCATTACTAGCAACTACTAGATCATCGACATAGTCAACGATAGAGTAGTCATGGGCAACCGACGTACGACGATGTACTTCAGATACCATCTCATGAGTGCTATAACGTAGTATAGCGGGCGATGGTGGGAGACCCATGACTACACGATTAAACTGATAATATTCTCCTTCGAAGTAGAAGGATACCCACGCCTTCGAAGCTTCAGAGAGCTGTATCATAAGGAATGCCCTATGAGAATCGAGTAAGGTTACATGCTTATAACATCTCATAGCGAGTAAACTGGGCGTACAAGAAATAGGTCCAACATCGCCCTTCGACAACAAGTTCTGAAATATGCGACCATCAAATACTGGCCGACACGGCGTAGTGAGACTATCCTTGAGTACAGCAAAGTGTGGCAACAACAACTTCACGCCTGAGACGTCAGTCTTACGAATTATATCTTTAGCGAGATAGTCATCAATAAGCTTCTTATAGCAATCATAACAATTATTGCGTTTTAACGATCTAATGAGCTTCTCATCACGTTTGACAACGCTCGGTACATCACTCATACGAAAAGTCTCTGGGCGCTTATTGGTGAGCCACGGAAGATTGAACGTATAACGAGTCACTCTACTCTCACTACTAGATTCGCTATTCAAAGCCTGAGGTGAACAATCTACAGTATAACCAGTGAAACACTTTTTAATAGAATCATCATCATCATGGTCTTCACTTGGCTGTAGACTGCATAGGAAGATAGGGCCTTCATCCGAGTCCTCATCGTCAATGGAGTTGTCTTCATTCTCGGCATCGCTTGGCTCTTGGACAATGTGGTTGACTTGGTCTTGATTGCCCTTGGCCGGTTGATCGTGTGATGATGCACCACACCTGAGAACAGTAGTAGTGGGCGATACACATATGGCCATGTCCATTAGCCGAAGGCCGCTTAGTCCGATAATCATCTCGGACGTTAACGTCGGTATTTCGAGTGCACTTAGGCAAACGTGACGACCCTTTGGTAGCTCTATGTAGAAGGTAATCTCTTTGATAGCCGAGACCTCGTGACCATCCGCTAGGAGTATGCGACGATTCACCTGTCGTGACCCAGCAACGGCTCCGGCTTTCTCCAATGACTTGGTCAAACTTTGACGTATATATACTCTAGCAGCACCGGTGTCGATCATAGCCGTACATTTCAGGGGTTTCGCCGCCACGAAACTTATTTCGGTGTAGAGGGGGTCAGTGCCAGTGTCCATCTCGGAGAGCATGCTAAGAGGGTGGACCTTGGGATCTTGTTTATCCTCTTGTCGAATATTGCTTGAGGCCGTCGTCATAGGCTCTTGAGCTGAATCACTGTGTGATCTCGAGAGATCAGTGGCTAGAGTCGGTTGAGACTTATCGACAGCTTTAACTCCCCTGCAAATATGCGCCACATGACCAGATCCCTTGCATCGTCGACATTGAAGATTCTGGACACCAACTTTCTGGGACAGACGGCAAGAGGAAGTCTCATGGGAACCTCCACAGGACAGACATCTGCTAGATAACGAAGCTGGTTCAGTGGCTTCGCAAGCGCTGCTGATATGACCAATACGGAAGCATCGGCAACAGCGGTTGTTATCTCTCAGGACCTTGTAGTTAACACGACGTGGTGTAGATTCAGCAGCAGCATTGGTGTTATTGTTGAGGTCCTCAACTTGAGGACACCGGTTCTTGGTTGACTCTGGTCAGGGGCATTGATACCAGCCAGAGTCTCAGTGCTGGACTTGAACATATTCTGAGCTGTGGTAGCTCGAGCTCGATTTCTGAGTAATCTCACCATCTCTCTCGGTTCTCTTTCCTCGGCAACCCACTCTGCTACCCAGTCCTTGTAAGGCGATGTCGTAGTCAGTAGCAGCTTCTCTACTAGATCTTGATCCGAGATATGGTGCTTGTTGTGCTTCAACAGTACCCGTTGCCTCTCTAATTCCTTGAGGTACACCTCGAAGGACTGAGTGTGGGATTGCTGGGTCTGCTGCCACTTGGCGAGGAGGAGAGTTCGCATGGAAGGATCATAGTAGTTCACGTACAGTTCAGTTAGGATATCATTGTAGGCATGCTCGAACCATTCAAGAGTACGTTGAACTTGAAGAAGGGACTCAGCCGTGCTGACGAAGATCTCTTCGACCACCTCAGTAGTTAACGAGTTCACAAGGAGATAGTAGGAGTGTGGGAAGCCTGTGACCCAACCATTCAATCTCAGCCTGACATTGAGCTGGGAGAGGAAGCCGTCCAGACCACGTGGGTCTTCTGTTCCCCTGAACTTGCTCATGAGGTCGGCTTCCTTCCTCGCATCTTTACGGGCGTCCTCGTAGTCTTTGGGCCTCAAAGGGGAAGGGTTGGTCTCGATAGAAGTCTGCTGTACCACTGGGGGCCCTTGTGGAGGGTCTTGCCCATCCTCCTCAATTGGCGGGGGAGTCGCTGAACTCGAAGTTGCAGTCTTCTCCTTATGGGGGGAGTTCTTTCTCGGATGATTGTTGCTTCTGGTCCCTTTCATAGTCAACCCAACAGTTAGTGATGGTGCTTGCGGTAGTGGAGATAACAAAGAGAATCAAAGGTTGATACACCAATCTATATTGTACTTGCGTGCTACAGCTAATAGAAAATGCTGAAGAATCACAAGGAAACAAGTTGGTACCATACCTAATCCGCGTACAGCAACAGAGGTACAACATGAGGCATATCACTGTGGTATGCCATAAAAACGCTGACCATGTGCGAAGTATCTACAACTAATGACTGCGGGTAGAGTCAGTCAGTAGCTGATTGCCACGAAAATACCATCCCACCTTACCTTTCAGAGTCATCGAAGCCACCAAGCTCGGCCATTGATCTGTGCGTTGCACGCTGCCAAGTGTGCAGGCGATAATCGGTTCGGGTTACCCCGTTCGGCGCAGGATCCAGAGCGTGCTCCGCAAGTTCCCGCTTGTAGATATTCTCAGAAGTCGCCCAATAGTGTTGTATATGTGACAACTGTAAGGCGCTGCCCTCACTATAGTCACATCAGCGAGCTCATCCATTCCCGGTATCATCACCCCCACTTGGCTGTGACAAGGGATATTATCCACAACCACTGCAACTTTAATGAATTCCGGCAACTCCATAACTTTTTGGACCACCCGTAGCGAATACACTAACCCTTCTATGAAGACCTCTTCCTTGAAACTGATAGTATACGAGTCCATGGCTTTCGCCGTATACTGATATGCAGTGCGTATCGGATTCTCGTGTGTTGGGTAATATATTCATCGCTCTCGACCCACTTTGCTTTCCACATACGTATCCGGGATACGCTCGGAGATTTTGTAGGACCTACAAAATATACCGAGATTTGTTTCATCTTGGTATAGGATAGTACAGTCATCAGCTGATAGCTGTAGCAGTCGCTCTGCATAATGTTCGCGTTTATTGCGACTAACAGCTGAGTTCACTCCTTGTGACTGTGCTGTAACAGCCTCATTTTACCTGAACTACATTCAGGAGAACACAGAGGATGAGAGATTTCTACTTGCTTAAAGGTGAAGAGCTTCATTACGAGATGTCTGGAAAGTGTGCTGATTCTGAGGTCCACTCTAAATTTTTCGTGTATCGATTCTTCCATCTGTCCAAGGGTTAAATGAGCAAGAGCAAGGCAGAACTGGGCTCGTCAATTCTCAATATGAAGACATCTCCCTCTCCCTTGCGTTTTTAGGGGCTTCATCCCGCGCAGCTCGGGCCACACTAGCTTCCTGAGCCGGCTTGCCGCCGTCGCGAGTTTTGCGTCGTTGATTTCGGCTACATCTTTCAAATCAAAGCCCTTGTCTTTGGCTCACGGACCTCACGGTGAAATTTGTTGTACTTACCACGCAGTGCGTGGCACGCAAACACCCTGTCTTTACACTACATCGAGTGCTGTCTCCGGTGAAGACAGCGTGAAGACCCTTCACATACTTCACGCAGTGTGTTTTCATAGTTCGAGTCCAGTAAAGGTAAGGAGATCACCCTTACCATCATATGCTCCAACTAACTCAATCATTCGAAGATCAATCTTCTCGAGGAGCGCGTCAATATCAGCCTCCGAGGCTCTATCAACGCTGGCTCCAAGTTGGAGCCACACACACGGAAGGAGATATACAAAACAAGATGAGCTCAACGGCAGTAGGCAGTACTCAGCAGGATGTCAGAAAGTTCTTAGACCAATTCAACAACTCGATCGCGGATATCAAGTATTATGCAGATTTAAAGAAACTGGCTGGCGAGCTAGAATATCAGGGTCTAGACGTCGAGTTGATACAGAGACGCTTCCTGGACTCAGGCCTCGCCAACCAGAGTCTTCATAACAGTGGTTGGAGGCTCCAACCACTGTTTAACAGTGACTGTTATGAAGACGGCCGCTGGCCTCTCATGTTCGCTGTCCCTTTTCATGATCAGTTCTCTGAGCTATTCAGGCGGACGCTCTATGTTGGGAGGATATAATGCCATAATGCCATAGTGCATGTGCAAGTCGGCGTTTTGGAGCAAGCTTATAAGTCAGGCTGATGGCGCTGTAACAGACACTCTATGTCAAATGGTGGTGTTACTGAGTGTGTACTTCTTCACCAAAGGATTATTTGGCATTTTAAGGCCCTCAGTGAGTACTCTCTGCGAGATCTAAGGTGATGTCTTGCTTGGTAGCTACAGTATCCATGGCAGTGAACATGTCCTTGCTATGTATAGTAACATAACGGATAATAATTACTATGAGCTGCCTTCTCTTGGCACAATCCTTCATTTCTATATGCTCGATGTGTTGCGTTGTTGTAAGGAAATTGTATCCTACAATATCTGCGCCGGAGAGAGTCTGTTGATTGTTCTGCCGACGAGATAGTGTTTGCTCATAACTCACCAATAGTATTATACTGTCACTGTGACACATGACAGTGTCACATTAGGCCATAAGCGTTTGCTCGGAGTTGCTGAGAGCACCAGCCAGCAATACTACACGGATACTTAGTAAGTATTACCTACCATCAAGTTGAGGACCTCAACTTAAGGGCTTCAAGTCATTTGTGGTCCTATTTCCGGCGAATTGACTAGGTGATTGCGTTTAAAAGATGGAAGCTCGCAATCAGTTGAGCCAGAGTGGGTTTCAGCAGGAAGAAAATGAAAGTACTAGTGAAATTTATCGATCCTTCTCCACTCGCTAATGTGTTGCTAATACCACAGAGGAATGGTACCGCGAATGGACTTAAAGTGCAACGCAGATATCTGCTAGGCGATAGCACGATGGTATGCGGGCGCATACTATGCGCTTCAACACTCGATGGGTTACCCATCATGGGTATATAGTGTATGTCTGAACCTATCGATATTTTCATTGGGATATGCTCTTTGGGAGGGTAGAAGGCAAGCTATCCTTGACGCTGTCAAGCTGACAGCGTGAAACGTTGTATGATAATATTAGAGTTCTCAACATCCCGAATATTCGCTGTCCAATCCTATAGGGTTAGTGGAACCCAACAGAGAGGATTGAGGGAATAAAAAAGGCTTAATTAAGCTTGATCAGCCTCATCATGAGGTGACCGTTTCATCATGCGGTGTGGCGGGCGCAGTGGCCTCAAAGATACAGAAATAGTGTTGAAGCCTTGTAATGCGTTCGACTAGGAGAAATATATACAGTGTGCTGGACACGCCCATAACTTATGGGCCATAAGTCTATATTACAATGTTATGCTTGGAAATGCTGGAGTGCTGGAAAGCTAGGATCCACCTATGAGGTGGTAATGGACTATCGGCTATACTGTGGGGTATTGCGAATTAACGTTCGTAATGTTCAACATCATTGGAACTACAATGAGTTCTGAACTGCAAGAAGTGTTTGTCTGAATCAGACAAACACTTCTGCTCATGGGAATGACATACTTGGATATGAGAATGGTATCTTGAACTTGAATCTTCGTCAACGACAACAATGGGATTGCGTTAGTCAGAGGGGATGCGGTTTCGAAAGATTTCGGAGGGAAATTTTCCAGTGGAAATTTTCCTGCCATTCCCTGGAGCTCGGAGAAATAGAAAAAATAGGAAAAATGCCAAAAGTGGCAAAAAAGGACGAGAAAATTGCAAAAAATGGTAAAAACAAAAAAGAGGAATCTGTTTTAATTACCACGGTGGAACTATTATTCCCGGCTGAGAAAAGCGAGCATATTTTGCAGCACTGTGGCTAAGAACCACTCAACTCAAAAGAACTCAAACCTTGTTTAAACAAGTATGTTCATGCTAGCATGAATGTATTTGCATTGACTGTAGTCATGTGATGCCTGAACGCTATTATGATATTGCTGGCGTGTGTAGAGGTACGAAACGGTACGATGATGAATCTCCGAGGAGCATCAGTGGGTTCCTGTACTGTCATCCAGTAACTGCGGCGCAGTTATAAAAACCCGCTACCCCTGTGGGTTCCAAGTTGGAACCCACAATGGCCGTAGGAATTCCGAAATGCTTCTCCATTGTTGGAACTTCCAACAATGTAGAAGCATTTCGGATAATCCATGCTGCATTCACGTACTTCACGCACTGTGCTTTCATCAGTAAAGCCCACGAATTGTGGGCTACAATAACCTCCGTGGCTGGTAGCCATGGAGTAACTAGCCTCCAGAAACTAACCTCAAGATAACCATATCTCCATTTGGAGTATCCACGGCTCAAGATCGTGATAGGATAATAAAACTGTCCGACCCGGATTCCGAAGAAGGAGACATCGTTCATGAGCTTCACGTTCCCAATTGTCAGCCGCACAACCCCGCCTTGTATTGATGAGGTCTTTCCACGCATCATACTTGTAGCATGAGCTTCGCCACTAAACTTTCTTCTGCTTGAGAAGATCATTGCGAGTTTAAGCCTTCAATAGTAGTTTTGCGGCATTAACACCGATCTGTGCCACGTCAAGACGAGAACATTTGCGATGAAATCATGAGTATGTGTGAGATGCCCTAACGTTTCTGTGCGCCGTTTTTGTGCGCATGTGATCTCACGTGCAGGTCACCCTAATTGCTCATGCAACATGGTGGCACTTAGCTGCTGTATCGCAACTTTATTAGCGCCTAACCAGTAGACTCGATCCCTCGTTCTTACCAATCCGATTCAAATGATTCGCCTCCTCACCAACATCCTGGTTATTGCCTTGGTCGCCGCCGATAACGCCTGCACCGATGCTGATAAGAAAACCATCAAAGGCACGCTCTTCCCCGGTTACCTTTGGTACTGTAGTAAGAAGGCCCTCTTAGATCCAAAGGGCGTCATCCCGAAGTGCCTTGAGGACGGTTGCAAGCTCACGGACAAGTGTGCCGAGTGCTTTGGTGAATTCGGACAGTGTGGATTGTCTTGCGTTACACAGTGCTTGACCAAACCCTCTGATCCGGAGTGTAAAGCCTGTATGGAGAAGCACAACTGCAATAAGCCACTCCTGACCTGCACAGGCCTATCCGAGATCATGCCTGGCCCGACGAAGGAGTCTCAGACATGCCCTCACTGATGTCTATCTCATTTCAGTGCTCCTCGGAGTCAAAACAACTTTCCCGAGCCTGATTATGCAGAAAGTCTGTTTTGACATTCCGATACCGCCGCTCTTCCGGTGTCTAACACTGTCTTTGTTATGGGGTTTCCACAACCCTCGAAGATTGTATGAAGGTCGCTCCGGATGGCGTAGGTCTCTTTTCCGAACAATCCGCTTTTCGACATTTGGCAAACGATTAAGGGTGGACATCCACCGATTTTTTCATCGGGTATAAACCGATTTATCATCAGTTTGATCGTGCTGTGTTGTGTTGTGACTTGGGGTGTTCAAACAACTGCGGGATCCTGAACGAATGTATCAGTCAACGATTAACTTTCCAAGAAATAAACTCAATCCGATGTTGGATAATGTTATATCATCAACGCCACAACGTCCTGGGACAGGTTATTCGTTCGAGTTTGAGAAAAAGCTATGACTTCGGCGCGCACCTGTGATATGATCTCTCAAGCAACGCGAAGGCTCTTTCACCATCGCTTCCCGTACAAGCCTTTACCTCCAGGCCGATCCTCAGTGAGCTCGCTTTCCAATTAGTAAAAACGTAGTTTTGGAATGACCAGATGCCCCTCGGGCATCAAGCGTATTCCCAAGACTCCAGCGCACTCACTTCATCAGCGATGAGATTTACTTCCCCTTATGACACGAATAGCCACACGTTGTGACGAATGCAGATATACCCGGATCGAATGTTCTGCGGCTATCAGTCACCTATCTCTGGTCTAGCAGCTTGTGGGTGAGGAAGCCTATGCAGGGCTTGTAAGACGCAGCCACCGCATGCTCCCCAGGGGGTCTTTCTCATAGCACATGATACGACTCAGTTCCTATACTTCGCTCAGCTCTTCTCGATTCGTCCGCTTCTCGACCCGACTCGGGAGCCTGTGAGATCGAGTCTAATTCAACCTTCTCCAGAGTTCAACCTTCCATTCTCAGAGTTCAACAGTGGTTGTGTTATTCACAACTGTTGAATTAAGACAGCTAAGGTAACGAAAAATGACGAAATTCTATCCTCAACAGTTGAGGATACAACAAGCTGCTCTCGACATCATCTCAAGAAAAATTAACACACAGACAATAGGAGTAACGTTTCTGGGGAAGCACACCTCTACCCCGCAGCTAATATCCAACACTTGGAAAATTCCTAAACGACGACAAACAGTCGCAAGCATAAGCGGGGATTCCTCTAATTTTCATTTCGATCAAGTCACACCAACAGCAGGATCCAGCCTGGACCCATGAGGGGGTCTGCACGGAGGCTAAAGGACCACAAGTGGTGACAAGGAGACTACTCACGGGAGTTTCTTTCCCAACTATCTTCGGTATCGTAAAAAGAAGACGCTGCCGATTCGGGAATGTGTCCCTTGGATTCGGAAATCCATTGTTCCGAAACGTCTTTGGAATGGCTGCGGCTCAAGGCACCCCACACCACCGACGAAATGTGCTCAGTGTTTCGGACAGTGGTCATCACTCCGTGATGAGCAATGCTGGGAGGACTCTCTGGTAACCACTGCAGGAGCTGTATTGCAGAACTCAACTGCTGCAACAAGCCTTTTCAGTAAATGTGCAGGGCTGCACGATAAGCTCGCGGAGATATACTATATACTGCCTGCTCTCGAAAGTTTTCGGAGGGTGAGCGAGTGGCTAGCTGCTCATTCCTGGAATAGCACGTCCCGGTTCTCCCCAGTGGTTGGTGATGTAGAATACACTTACTTGCGAATACGAACGGGACTAAGACATGAGGACAAGGAGGAGCTGACGACGGCGATAAAAAAATAATGCCAATCACACTATAAAATAACGCCTCGCCATATCACTATCACTACACCGGTTCTTTGTATTCACAAATAACTAGAACACAATTAGGCCGAGATTAAGTCACTCGATGATATTATGAAGTACGAGATAATAGCAGTAGAGGACTATTCCATGTTCTAATTAGCAAAGGGGGGCATTCCCGCTTTCTCACGTTCCGTGGGCTCGTAGTGAACCAGGAACTTCTCGATAGCACCGTACTTACCATTGTTCCATCCGTCCTGAAATACACAACACTGCACTAGCCGAATGAAAGCAAGCGTTAGCCGGTCGGAAGCAATCTTGGGTTTCCCATTTCAAAGATCAAAAACGTGCATTATTTTTATTTTCCGCGCAGTGCACGGAAATCGAACTCATATTTTGAATTCTACTTTGCGGAACAATCCTCCTAGTCGACGAAAATCCAATTCCATTTGCCAAATTCGAAATTGAAATAGTGTAGATTTCAAAAAAACTTCATCACTAGATGTGTCCACGCTATATACGATACCGACAATAATGCAGAGGAGGCATCCCTACACTGTAACCGACATTTGGGGACTCACCTCTGTACGGACCAGCAGCTTGCCGTTAACTACATCGATTTCCACCTGGGTTGACCCAAAGGAGTAAAATTTTCGGTTGATTCTTTTGATCGGCACCGCCGAAGAGGTGCTGTTGTAGAACTCCTCAACTCTGAGACACCACACAGATGAGGCCCGTGGGATGTCCCGCCCAATAACCTCATGTCCACAGGATCATCGCGATTCATGCTATGATATGGGAAAGCTGGATCGCCCGTCAGCAAGGGATGAATCTGTAGCTTGCCCGATGAACCAAGACCACCAGGAGACTTCCTGATACCATGCCAGCACCGATGATGATAGTCATCTCCAGGTAGCGTTTACCTAGGGCTCGGAGTTCCCTTGCTCTCCCTAGGGCTTGGCCTGCTTAGAGGGCGAGAGGTCGAAGCGCCCTGAACGGGAATGAATCCGATCAAAGCCCAACTACAGTTCCTTGCGGACCATGAACGTCTTGAGTCGTCGAACTTCATCTCTGAGATCATCTATGAGCGCATCCTTAGACGCGAGTTGAGCCTTGAGCCTCTTAATAGACTCGCCATGTGGACTCTGTAATAGCATAATTCCATTCTGAGAGTGGTCAGGCTGGTCACCTCTCCCGTGGGCCCATTGAAACCTGGATGACTCCTGGACTCCAGCTCCTGTTCAAGCTGTGTGATGTACTTGGCTTTCGAGGCCAAGGAAGCTTTCAAATCCGCGATCTGCTTCACCAACATCAACACTACTACTACACCAACATTGCCCTCCTCACCGTGCGTGATGCCGGCGTGCCAGCCTTAGCCGGAGAATTCTGAGGAGGCGTGCATCAATCCCTGCCCCATCACAAGGCCAGATACTACCTTGACACCTTTCGACGGGGTCATCGAGGTAGAAGGTTTCTGCATCTGAGACTTAACCTTCCGCTACCGATACCGTAACACACCCAATTTACCTCAGGCTGTTGAGGGGCCTTCGATATGGCCTGAGGCTGGGCGACTCGACTGCCTGGTGGGGCCTGGAATGCTTTCCCAAGGCCTGGACCAACCACAAGGCCTACGAGAAAGCAACACTAATGCAAGTGTAGGATGAGCTCCACTACTTGCTCTGCCGTTAGGATTCCCCACGACCTGAGGAGCACCCTGACCGAATGCCATAGCGAACCTCCCAGCCCCCATAGGAGGGAGACCTTGGCCCGGGACTTGAGCCTGGCCCTGTGGTGGTTGGACAGGACGCCCAGCTGTATCAGCCGCGTGCTGTTGCTGCTGTAGTGGAAGCGCCGGAGCGACATTGAACGGCGAGGCCTATCGAGACCGAGTCGCAAGACGAAACCTCTTCCAGCAATATCCTACCGTGAATTGGGCTGGCTGCCTTAGGTTGGTGCCTCCAAACATATGAGGGAACTGGGGCATGGTACCTTGCTGCTGCTGCTGTTGACCGAACATGTGCAGGGATCCAAACGTAACTACCGCCGATACTAGTCTACTGATCCTGTTATAAAAAATGCAGCTGTAAAGACAGAAACCACAAGGCATGAACAGTCATAGACCTCGGCCGTGACGAGAACATGAACACCTCAGTGACACAACACTTCAGCACAGCGACTGCTACTGTCCTGTCCCCAAGGCACGACATATTCAGACAACGCCTTCCCCACCATATCATCGTCCATCATCATGCCGAAGGACATCCCGGAGCTACCGCTTCCAATGGCCACTTAAGAATAAGTTGTTCTATGAATCAAACTTCTGTCCACGTCCCATACTGGCTATTCCAGATTCTTGCTCATGCGTTTCAAAGCAACGGTTATCATACCACTCCTCTCCCACATCTCATCAAGATCCGACCATCAGAACTTCAATCGATGGCAGCAACAGCATATCGAATGGCTCTATCAACGAACTCGGTATTCCTTGGAAAACCCATGGCCTATCAAAACAGCTGCGGAGGAAGAGAAGTAACCGTGGGCGAGCAACTCTACTCTCTGTCAGCCCGAACAGACTGAGCTAGGATAAACTCGCCTAATCCCCTCTTGAAGGGTTGAGGATCATTGACCAGGACCACGACTCACTCGCTAGGCGATTGACCTCAAAACACTTACCCTCACATTGAACAACACAAGTAGTGAGCATTTCATGCACAGTAATAGTAGAAGGACTCGACTAGTATTATCAAGCAAGCGTCATACAGACAGACTATATGTATGTCCCTGTATGTATTGCCGCACTGTATGATACAGTGCGGCGAAGAATCTTACTTGTGCGCAAGATTCTTCCCTGCGCATGCGTGCGTGGCTCCACCTCCCAGCTGTTAGTGATTCGCCCATTGATATAACACTCCACTGAATGTAATTGCAGGAGAATGCCTTACGAGGCCTGGTCATACTCCATAGACGACGTAGACTGTCATCATCATAAGCTTAGCTGAGGGATTCCTCCAACCGATAGAGACACGCTGTGTGCTACGGGGAATTGGGACAGCGATAAGGATGCAGCAGCACCCTCTAATGGGCATCTCAACTCGAAACGCCCCTAATGGGAACACCTCTCCGGCAGCGTGCGAGGACGAGGGGCGTGGTCTTCAACAGAACCTTCATATTATCAACAAGGTCTTGGGATTAGCTGAGCAGCCTTCAAGCATGAGATGCTTTGACTAAGGCGGAAACATAGCTGATTTCAAAGACCACACCCATTATCGCCCCGGATCCTTGGGCACCCTTCAAGATCACCTCGACCTCACTGCAGAGCCGTTCTCCTTTCACTCACTCGCTGCCTCCCCCTACAGAGAAAGGTCTACCGAGGCAGCTGAATCCCTCTCACTCAGCAGAGACCGGTGCAATGGGGATCTACATATCTCCCATCGCTTCCCGTCAGGCATAATGGTCACCCCCGCCAGCTTTATTCGAACTGAACACAACCAGAAGGATGTAGAATAGGGAGGAAACCAATTGGAGTCATGAGATTCCATCCAGCATGATACGATACGCACTAGCAATATTCTCGTGCGCTGTAGAAGGAGTCCGCATTTGACGCACTAGCCGATGCACCATCGACAGACCTGCAATACTCAGTCACCTCGAAATGCCAATCGAGACTCACTGGTTAGTCTCCTCCTTAAGCGACAATGCCTCTGGTAGTGTTCCCTTGAAGGTATCCAACGCTGTAAACCCTGAGGGGCACAAAGGACTGTCTCGCAAGGTCCCACAAGACTCACCAGAGTTTATAAGCCTAGACTGCTGAAGGACGGGAGCTGATAGAGTTGAATGGCTAGCACCACCATCCTGACTACTGCTGTCCCCTATCACCACAACGCTAGAATCCTGTCCCAACCCTACAGCGTGTACCTGAAGGCCACCAGACCCACCAGCACTAAAGCCAGAGCAAGTGTCACCTTGGCGTGGGACAAGGAGTATACCATTCGAGGATGGAGGACCGAGGTCTTCAGCCGACTACTGATGGCGACCCCTGGGGGCCTCCTATTCTCCTTAGTGGCCCCTTCATCATCTTCCTCATCCCATCCAGTATCGACGTGCTCCCCGACCATGCTAGATCTCGGCCCATAGTGGTCCCTCTGGTGTATCAGCTTCCCATCTCCACTATGGCCCCACGTATAGAGATGTCCTTCCGAGGTCACTAAGGCGCTGTGTCGAGCACCACAGGCTACCACCACTTCGGTCTGCCCGACATCCACGGCTACAGGCTTCGGCTTTCTCGTAGTCCTCGCCTCCACTTTGCTACTGCTAACACCACACTGTCCAGCCCTGTTGTCCCCGAAGGCGAGGACCCCGCCACTCCCAGTAACAATCAAAGCGTGACGGTCTCCGCACGCCACCTGCTTGGCCCTGACCCCCTCCAGAGCTTCGATCCTCGAGACGCTTCCCTCAACAGCCACTCTAACGGAGTTGGATGAAGGCAGCTCGCCATATGTGTCATCGCCCCAGCCATAAACCACTCCGGTTCGATCCGCAGCAAGGGCAAAGTGCGCCCCAGCAGAAATACTAGAAATCTCGACATCGTTACCAAACTCATTCAGAAGCTTCGGCGTCGGTATGATCTGTCCGAACGCCGAAACCCCCCACTGGTAAAGAGAACAACACCGCACAACACGCTCAACCTCCAGGCTGATACCACTACCACTCCCCTCTACGACTTGCTCCTCATGACCAGCTACCGCGACTGGACTAGATAACACAATGGCTTCCAACCTGAACACCTCACCAGAAGGGGTGTACCACAGACCAATGCCACTATGGATGGACCATGGTGTGTCGGGAGTGAATGCATGAGGACTAAAGGCCAATAGCCTACCACCTCTGTGTAGTTCCCATCTACTACGCTCTAGACTAGGGCATAGGGAAATGGTACTCGACTGCTGAGTATACACAACTTGGCCCTCTCTTGAGGTAAGCCTATCCGAACGGACATAGCATCCATCGAATGCGTGTGCACTAGTGTCATCACGGCGTAAATAGACGTAGTGGCCCGCTAAAGTCAAACTGAACTTAGCCACAGCTGACGTAGTAGTGTCCCTCAAGCATAGTTCCAAGGGGCTGGCCAATGCATTAGAGGCTACCACCAGGGAGGGGTTGCACCGAATAGCAACTGCCCCTGGCCGAGCCCTGGTGATGACCTATGACAAACAGTACCAAACATTGGGAAACCCGAACTAAGGAAATTTCGATACAACTTAAGAAATTCTTATTGGTTTCCGTACACATCTACACGGATTCGTATGTAAACAAGGAAATTCGCAACATGCTCGGCCGAGAAGGCCCCCCTCTCAGAGTGAGGTGGTGCAAGGAGGACACGCATGATAAGAGGAACGAACATATATTCCAATATCGGTACCCAAGCCCGATCATCCCCTTGATCGGCCAGATAAAGGTGAGCCGAGGGCCGACCTCTGGACCGCGGACACCAACGCACAAATACTGGACGGTGATTGTAGTAGTCTCCGGTAAAGAAGTAGCTACCAGACATATCCTCCTTTCCTACCCAGCATGAGCCTGATGACAATCGTTCAGTCCATTGGGCGAACGCCAGTGTGGTCAACTAGATTCTTGGTAAGGTCTGGAGATTTTGTTGCGGTGAATACAACAACAACAGCAGAAATAACAACAGAAACAACAACAGAAACAACAACAGGAACAACAACAGGAACAACAGCTACTACTACTACTACTACTACTACTACTACTACCAATATCCAGTCCAACTCCCTCCCGGCACAGCAATTGGCCATTACGCCCTCTCAAACACACTGTCAAAGCTAAAGTATCAGTGGTGATGACCTCCTCGCCTAGTGTCACCATCAACCCTTTCCAACTGAATGGGATCATCCCTTCCGCCACTATAACCGTCTCCACCTGATATCAGCTCACTTGAGACTAACACAGCCGTCAGGGCATACTTTACGAGTAACAAAAGCATAGCTACTCCTCCCACGGGCCGCGATGTGACCAACAGTGTAGCTTCCGCTCCCTATGATGTCCAGTCGACTCGGACTGCTCACATGACCTCCCTTGATAACTACAAAAGAACACTCTAGGAGTGTTGAGATATATGCTTGCTTTCCTCAGCTAAGCTCAGGAGTTTCTTCACTTACAACAGGAGATTATATACGAGATGTATAGAAAACCAACAGGAATTCCCCAGAATCATCATATAGTCACCAACACATGTAGTTGACCTTGTGCATATTTTCCCAACCCGACACTGCATCCCACTATCGTATTCTCCACTACTGCGTCCACTCACCAGAGTCTATGGTAGACCTCATCCTAAGCCCTATACAGTCGGCGTGGCCCCAGACCAGTACCTTACGGAAGGATGAGGCCTACTCCCGAGGAGCCACTACTGCCCTACCTCACCTGATCATCAGCATCAATGCACAGGCTATGGTACGACCCCGTTGCTAAGGATGAGGCCACAAGCTCCTCCTCACCAGGGCCTATACGTACCGGAGTAACCTGCCGAGCTATGCGGCTCACACTACGAGAGGCTCCTACCTCTCGAACGACTTCCTTTGTACTACCCACACCACATTGACCGTATTCATTCCTGCCAAAAGCATATACCCCACCTTGAGAAGATCGTAGGAGAGCATGCCCAGCTCCAACTGAGACCTGACGAGAAGCCCCTCTAGCCGGTGCACCCCGGGTTGTAGGCCATCACTCACCACTACACAATGAAAAATGTGCCCAAAGTGTCCAAATAAAGAAATTCTGGAAAACTCAAGGAAATTCCAGCAGGTTTTCGCATATTTCTTCGAGTGGCAGAATGAAAATTCTGAGGAAATTTTGGGAAATTCTCATTGATTCATGTACATTTCTACATGGATTCGTATGTTAACGTGTATACTTAGCGAGGAAACTGTCAAGCTCAGCTGGGGAAAGCGAACATATTTTCAGCGCTGCTGTACTACCTCATCTATCCTACGATTAGCCAGCACGCCTCCCTCCAACACAATAGGAGCGCTTACCAAAGCACCATCCCATTTTCCTGTCGACTTACTGCTAACCTACCCAGTAGACATTGCCGAATTAAAGACCCTCATGAGCCTACCACACGTGGCTGATCAGCATTAAAACTGAATGACCGCTTGCGATGATAATTCTTCTTACGACTGCCAACAGCCCCTTCCCGACCTTCCTCGGCATTACCAACATCAATAAGGCCAACGAAGGGCGCCCCATATACGAGCACTTTGGTATGCGTCTCAGCTGGTGGTGGTAGACGCAACCCTCCGCCTGCCAAAACAAGCGCTAGAGCATATCCCCTCCAATAGACGTCAGTACTACCCTGTGCTTCAAATGTGGCTGACAGGACGGTGGTGGAGTCGTGATCCAGGATGTCCTCTAGAGCACGATCTCTAGTACCACTCCCGCCGCAACAACGCATACATCAAAGGAGGTGACCAGTTGCTCCTACCACCCTCCCAAAGCCTCTGACTGAGTACTCAATGACAACTACTGCCTTTGAATAGGAAACTTCAACAACGGTGAGTATTACTACGAGTCTAGTTACATCTAACGCGAGGCCAGACACAAATGTTATTATCAGCTCAAAGTACACCAGTGGGATGATCGTCAATGGTCGTAGTATCCTCATAGGACTCTCCTGGCCGCCTTAGCCGCCTTCTGCTTGGCCCTACGTTCCTTCTGGCTCTGCTTGCCCTTCCTGGAAGACTGACCAACAGTAGCTGACCTCTCAGGGCTGCCCTCCGACTCCCCTCCAGCCTTATTATGATGATGTTTCTTCCCAGATGACTTCTCCTCCTTAGCTTGGGTAGCGGCCTGCTGCTGGACTTGACTGTAGAGTAGTTGTCGTATCTGCTGCTCAGCTTGCTTCCTCTGTATGTTCTGGACAAGAGCCTCCATCAACCTCTCGGTTTGCTCAGGCTCACTAGAGGAGGCAACCTTAGTGTGAGGCGGCACCGTCTCAGGGCTGGATTCGGCATCATGCGCAGAGAGCTTCTCCGTCACATCCTTCTCAACTTCCACCTCAACCTCGGCCTTCTTCGCAGAAAGCTCGGGCATCGACGCGGTAATAGTTGCTGACGCCTCATTCTCAGTAGAAACGACCACCGGAGCCTCCTCGGCCTTCGTAGCGGCCACCGGGGCCTCCTCGGCCTTCGTAGCGACCACCGGGGCCTCCTCGGCCTTCGTAGCGACCACCGGGGCCTCCTCGACCTTCGTATCGGCCACCGGGGCCTCCTCGACCTTCGTATCGGCCACCGGGGCCTCCTCGACCTTCGTATCGGCCACCGGGGCCTCCTCGACCTTCGTAGCGGCCACCGGGGCCTCCTCGACCTTCGTAGCGGCCACCGGGGCCTCCTCGACCTTCGTAGTGGTCACAGGGGCCTCCTCGACCTTCGTGGCGGCCACCGGGGCCTCCTCGACCTTCGTAGCGGCCACAGGGGCCTCCTCGACCTTTGCGGTGACCACAGGGGGCTCATCAGCCTTTGCGGTGACCACAGGGGCTCCCTCGGCCTTTGCGGTGGCCACGGGAACCTCCTCGACCTTCGTAGTGGCCATGGGAACTTCCTCGACCTTCGTAGTGGTCACAGGGGCTCCCTCGGCCTGTGTAATGGCCACGGGGGACTCATCGACCTTCCCTCCAGTATGGGACGTGACAAAAGCTGATTGTACAGCAGCCTTGGGCACTTGAGTAACTACAGTGTCCATAACCACCTGCTCCTGACGCTTCTCGACCGATGTCGGCTTTGGCCCAGGGGTAGATGCAGCAGAGGTAGCTGGGGTCGGAACGGGGCTGCTCTCAGCCTCCCTCTTCCTGGACGGCAATACCGCAGCGACGCTGGTGGCAGTGACCTCCGATACACTCTCCACGGGCTTCTTAGAAGGAGAAGCCACCTTGAGGGTGTCAGCCACAGTAGCAGTAGGCCCAGGGGACTTAGGCCCTATTACGGGTTTACTACTGCTAACTGGGGGTGGGGTCGGAGCCTTTGGTGATCCGAAACAGGAAGAGCAAGAATTACCCATAGAAAATGCGAAGTAAACCGGGAACAAACGTAAGGGAACTTAATAATACCGATGATGTCACTAAAGAATTGCATGAAAATTGCACGAAAAGTAGCGTCTCGAGTGACCCAACTTGCACTTTGTAACGCAACAGAGTGGAATCGAAAAGGACACAGTACTCACGAGCCGACGATAGGCATCTAAGCTTCTAAGACTCGGTAGTGTTTATGGTAATCTAACTTGTGTGTGTGTTAACCGAATAGTGACAACATAGGACGTTAATTAGGCACCACCACTACAAGCTCAATATTAACCAATGATGACTACAGATGAAGAGATTCATGCTGATCCCTCTTAGAGAAAAAAAGGATAGAAAATACAGTCGTTGTAACATGGGAGTATTCATCAGTCTAATACTCCTCCACAGTGCTTGCGTCACTGACTCTCACAACAACTCCGCTATTGGTGTTGTCGTTATTGTCATTCAATAGCAGACAAGACCGTTTAGCAGGAGGAACCGTCATAGCCAAGACCTTGGCAGCAGGCGGCTTGATATCATCGTTGGAATAGGCGGCTTTACGCTTCGGTGAGGCTTGAGTCGACTTCGACAACGACTGCTTCGACTGCCCATGCCCTGAGATGATCAACTAACATTGACTAACAACATCTTCCAACGCGACTGTTTCCTTAATAACATTTACAAGAGCTCCATACAACCCCCCCAAGTTTACGTTGCATCAGAGCCTTTTTGAAGTCTTCAATGGCCTCATCCAATTCTTTCGAACTTTTACCCACGCAACCACCTCGAACGAACTCAGCCTGTTGGATACTCGTAAGGCTACCCGGACGCACTACACGTAGCCAGCCATGTAAGGCACCGTACTCTCCCTCAGGCCTGAATGCTCATCATTATCAGCGCACTCCAGCAACCAGACAAGGTCTTACCAGCCTAGGGCATGGACAATGACGTGAGCTATGAGGACGAGAGTACGACCAAGACCCGCATGGCAGTGTAGGGCGATAGCCGCATTAGGACGCTTTTGTAAGACCTAGGCCAGACAGATTGTGGCCATCCCTCACTGACACTCTCACCTTAGTCATGGACTTATACGCGGTGATGAGGACCTCTGCACTTGGTATGGAGCCGTCTCCTAGTGGGATATCCGTGTGCTCTATGGACTCAGGTAAGATAGCGTCAGGATCATACCAACCTATACAAGACAAGCGAGTCTAATACCACACCTCTAGTACTTCATGAGATAATCAACACCAGAGAGTCTAATACCACACCTCTAGTACTTTACGAGATAATCAACACCAGAGAGTCTAATACCACATCTCTAGTACTTTACGAGATAATCAACACTAGAGAGTCTAATACCACACCTTTAGTACTTTATGAGATAATCAACACCAGAGAGTCTAATACCACACCTCTAGTACTTTATGAGATAATCAACACACCATATCGCTGCCCTCACTACGCGTTTCATCATTCCTTTCGAGCATCTGGTTGATTCTCAATATAAGGCCAACGTTGAGCTCCTGTAGCTTGCCCACTAGACTGACTTCACCGCTCTCTTCCGTTTGAGGCAGCGACGTAGGAGTCGTTGGCGGTGATCGAGACTCCGACATCGTATCCGAATCGAAATCTGAACAAGGCGTGGTATGACAATAATAACACTTTGCCACAGCTCACCAGATCTACTAATTAGACTGGTTCTGCTGAATCCATCATCAATAGTGACAGGATCCGGCATTGCCAAGAACAGACCAGGTACCACCCAAGTCGCGCTGTACTTCACCCTCAGAGCTCTCCACTCAGCTACATCCGGATACCATCCCTTCTCGCGAGCAATAAGCAGTCCTCGAGCGCAGTCGATGGGCTTCAACGCTGCCAACTTGGGCGTTGCGATATACACGAACGGGTTTGGGAAGGCAGCAATACCAGCAGTAGAGAACATATCAACCACCGAATCACAAGAGTACCCTCTCCTCAATACCAGATAGCACATGAGCATCGTAACAGCATTCGATGCCGCCCCCACGAATGGTGAGGAAATCATGACCAAAACCTTACTCGCCTTAGCCGCCGATTCCACCTCAGATTCAATGCTATCGCAGAATCTAGATATCTACACAAGCAGCATTCATCACACTTACGCACTCCGAAGGATTCCTCCCACCTGCCAGAAGCTCATCGGACCAAAATGCCTATTGCTAGCTACTCCCTGATGCACATAGATAGCACAGTTCAATGCATAGTCATTTTCAGCACAGTACAACACTGTTTCGCCACCAATATGCGTGGCAATAAACTCCTTAGCATCCCCTGTAGGCTGAACCGAGCCTAAGGAGACCAAGTAGTCTCAACATGGCAAGTCGAGAGCCAACCTGGGGACTGATGCCTATGCATCTTTTTCACAGTGTTGGAGTGTTCTTCATGACACTTCATATAGTCAACACATGTCTTACAGGTAGTAGGGACGTTACCAACCTAATCTCTGCTATGGTCGCTACCACCGCCTGACCTTCCTACCCAACAGAACTTCTCCGGGACAATCCACACAATGCGTGGCTGCTTCCCGTTCTCTGATGCACTACTGGTGACTGAGCTCATGATGATGCTGTTTATAACGCGGAGGGACAGGGCGGGAGGAGGAATAGGGACGTGGAGCAATCACCAGCTTTGGCGCAAACAAACACTACGACCAATCCCGGTACACTTGCATGTCACCAAAATACACCTCTAACAACAGAACAGAGATATTCACAGCTGCCGCAGCTGAGCTACGCTTCGATAGTTCCTATTTCTAGTGGAAATGCCATTGTCTTCGCAGACCCACCACCTGGCAGGTTGCTTGCTACTACATTGACACGCCTCGGTCCGTACAGCCGTAGGAGTTGACAAAGGCCGCTCACAACACTCACAACCACATCTCAGAAACCGCAGAAACGCATTGGCAACGAAGCGAAGGACCTTTTTTTCAATAGAGCATCATCGACCCGCTCAAGCGTCATACTTCTTAGTATATCTATAATACATAGATTGATAAAGAACAAACTTAATCCAAGTCAGCCACATTGGTAGCACCTGAAACTACCTCTAACCAACTACTACCACCTCAACTACTACTCTTAGTCCCGTTGTCCGATGGCATAGCACTCATTCTCAAAAGGCTAACTCCTTTATCAGAGAACATCTGCTCATCATTCACAGCATCCAACAACTCCTCAAGGCTCAGACATGCCACAGGACGCTGTTGAAGGTCCGGCCGTGGGAATAGAACCTGCGCATAAACACTACGCACGTAGCATCAAGACCAAGGCCCATAACAACCCCAAATCTAATGAGAGTAGATCCGTAGCATTCCCATTGTAGGGTCGAGCCGAAGCCAGATGCCCTTGCTTATTACATATACTATATCACTCTTCTTACACCTCTCCGACTGAATGAGCGGCGAGTCAGCAGCTGCTACCATATAACTGAGAAAATAACCTATACCAGGCCAAGTAGCCTCGCAACCACTCCATACACAAATTGTAGTTCTTTCCTCTTGTCAAACTTGCCACTATCGATGGCATCCGATATCGGCTTCATCAACTTCGCCGCGTCCTTCATAGCTGTTAAAATAACCATGTAAGTAATCGAGCTTACAATACTTCTATTACTCTTGGTGATAGCAACAACTACGCCACTCTTATCGTCGCTCGCCTGCAACAACCTCATCGTAAGCCCTTCCTCGTTGGTACCTAGACATATACACTAAAACATTCCATAATACGATATGTAATAACCCCACTTTTAACCCCATATTTTTTTAGGGATTTTTATATATAATATCTACTATACTTATCATCAAGCTTTACATGATCAAAGATCTATACCGATCTTCACAGAAATATGCCAAAGCCAATAATACTTATAATAAATCCTGGATCGCTATTAAGAAGCATAATACAACTACTTACCTTCCAGACGATCACTAAGACCGTCGATGAGCTCGATAGGGGTAGAATCCCCAAGCGCATCGATGCCCTCCGGCCCAGCCTTGATCATCTTCACAATCTCCAACTGCTGCGTCCGCTCTAACCGAGTATGCTCCTTAGCAAACGCCTTGTCGTTGGTCATATACCTGATCAATGAGTCCCCTACCATCACACGGACAACTCACTTCCCAACAGCACTATGCAGAACTGCCTTGTTCACAACAATATCCGCATATCGAGCCACAACTGCTGCCTCAGCCGAGTCGTTAGCTTCCTGCAGGCCAACACCCAACTCTGCTTGATCAGCCTAAGGTAGCAGCATTAGACAAGTGGCCGGCTCAAGGGCAGACTACATCAACTGGATGCGGGTGCTTCCGCCAGAACTCCTTCAGGGTCTTCCGTAGTCGTGCCAATTTTTCAGTATTCATAGTCTCCAGGATCTTCAAACACATGTCCAGTGTGAGAGCCTCGGGCATCTCGAATACTAAGCCCAATAAATACATCAAATTCACCTGAATGCTACTACCTGGAATGATAGGCATCTTCCCCTTAGTCGCCGAGGCGAACATATCCTCTACCCCCTTCTCGAACTGTTGTATATGTTCATCATTCTCGTACCGCTTTTGGGCCGCCTCTACCTCCTCCGCCGTGACACCATACCTACTCCCAACACTCCATGGTTAGGTCAATGCCGCATTGACTACTACTTCTGAAGCACCTGTTTCTGCGTCTCCTCAAGCTTCTGCTGAATGCCCTGCTGGAGTATCATCTCGGTGAGCTGATCGTCCGTCATTTGATTGGACAACCCCTTTTGAGCCAATGCGGCCTTGACACGTTCTGAAGAGACGAGATACACATTCATAGTAAACAACTCATTCACTCACGAGTCATCTGAGCCATCTCCCTGAGTACACCATGCATGTCAACAAGCAGATCGTCGGTGATGAGCTTCAACTTCTCCAAGTCCAACATTTCCTCCTCGTCGTTGCCTGATCACCCATAATCGATACATCGGCAGAGCTGCGGCGGCCCTCCCTCAACTGGGGGGTTGAACGCCGTTCATATGGTTGCTATTCCACAGAGGTTACAATGCAAGCATAATACGCCTTACTCTTGCGCAGTCGTTGTCGTCGAGTGTATAAATAGTATGCAGCCCCCAGTGCTAATGTAGAAGCGCTCGCCCCAGTAACGATCTAAAATAGGATAAGTCATGATGGCTGTCAGTGAATCAACTGACCTTAGCGCTTTTGGAAAGACCATGCGACTTGGGCTGGGCAGTGGCATCAAAGGCTTCTGAAAACATTGTAAGAGAGGAACCACAAACACTGAGGTGGGAGGAGATCCAGAGAGTTGGAAATTCGATGCAACCGCTTTAACAATCTTGAAGACAGCAGCGCTCCGCTCACAGTGCAGTCCAGCTCTCTACCTATGTAGCTCGGTAGGCAACAACTAACGTGGTCAATGAGGTTTCGAAGTCCGTCGAAAATATCAGGACAAAGATAAGGCATCTACCCGTTGACACTACATGAACACTACTAGGGATGTGAATGAAATATAACAATCATGCACGGCAGTTCCGTGACGGCACCATCTCATATGATCCTACACGCCTATCGGCCGGGCCTTACAGGGCTGTGAGCGTTTCAGTGACTTTTCTGCATTACGTGAAGACCCATCACGTAATGCAGTTCAGTCGTGATTAGCCTCAAATTTTCCGGGAAAGTTCCACATACCACAAGCTGCCCAAACAAGTCGACGGGAGTGTAACATCCCACAGCGCATCCAGAGGGTATCTCAAGGACATTCGCGGCTAAGATGCGCAATTCTTCACTTAGCGCGCGCCCGAGTAATCGATAAAAACACGACGCAGCAATGTTCCATCGTCGACCCAAGCATTTCCATGGCAGTAGTTCTCTTCCGTATTGCGTAGCATGTTGCTCTCGTTCGCATCGTCGAGTCTTGGCCCGCTGCCTCCCGAGTCGGCCAGTAGCGTTACGAGTCCTCCAGTGCCGAAGCGAGGCATACCAAGAGGGGAAGGGGTAAGCCTCTGAAGCTGAGGGAAGCCCACGTCTGAATTCAGGTCAAGGTCGCCTTGAGGGAATGGTCAGGGATGTATCATCGGCGACAAATAGAGATATCTGAGATGACAGCTCACGTAGAGTCGCTGAAACGCCAACGGAATGCGCTGTTGAGCGAGGTTACTGAGCAAGACACCAAGCTGGCGTCTCTGGGTACACAGTTGACCAAACAGGTGGACCAGGGAGCCATCATATTCAACCGGGTGCACACCTATTCTTTCAGAGGGATGAGGAGATCCCAGCGATGAAACTTCGTTATGAAAATGCGACAAAACTGAAGCAAGACCTCGACCGCGAAGTTACCGAACAGCGGACAGCCACCCGGGACCTATCAAAAAAGAGGACAGCTCTTACGCAGGATATCGAGCGGAAACGCAGCGAGCTGACGTAAGCACGTCAGTGGTTGAGGTAGGGTCTATAATGCTGACTCAGGAGTGTTAAGGCAAGGAGGGACTCAATCGCGACGAAAATTCGGGAGCTGGCGGACCGAAGAGAGCGTGCTGAAAAACAGAAGGCCCAACGTGAAAAACAGCTGGGCAGGGGACTTGAGAATCTGAGGAGAACTCAAACTGACATCCTCATGGCCCAACGAGACATAGCAGCTCTGAAAGAGGGTATATCATAACTCGTCTGTAGAGGACTAGATGGACTAGGATCAGGTATCAACGTCTGTGTACATTCTACCAGCGGTGGTACTGGCCTGCCCGTCGGCGCTCGAGGCATACCCTCTGCTGTAGCAACTCATGAACGACTAGCAACAGCTCCCTCTGCCGCTAAGTGAGCTCTCAATGTTATCCTAATCTACGATGGGAAGCCCATCAGGTAAGACATCGTTTTTGCTTCAGATCCGATGAGTTCCCAGCAGCTAGTGCCACGCCTCGTATCGACTCTGATTCGGTGAGTTCCCTGGGGTCGAGTGTCGTATTGAAAGTTGTATGTCCCAGATGCAGGCACCGAAGAGTGCGAGGTTTAGGAGGCCCCCACCAGGGATGGTCTCACTGATCAACGCTACAGCCCCTGTCTCTACCAGCAGTCCGGTAGAGATTATTGAGAAACCATTAGAGTGATGGCATTTACCAGTCTATATGATGTACATGAACCACCATCTGTCGTCGCCCTTGTTGTTCTAGTTGTCAGTGGGAGGGTTTCAGAAATCGTTTGTTGCTCACACTAACCTTCCGAATTCCGCAATAGAACTTGACAAGTGACCATCACTGCTCCTTTATCAGACAATAGACAAACGTGAATCAAACTCAGCATAAAAACTGGGGTGAAGCATCAGTGTTAGCCAATGTGCTAGCTTATTGTGCACCAGCGAGTGTTAGCTCGCATCGAAGATATCGGTTGTGTTCTATAGACGTATGTGTCGGACATGGGAATCCTGTATATCAGGTTTATTCGAGCGTTAAGAACCTTTACGAACACTGCAACACTTTGAGCTGAGACCAAGGAGATTGCTAGAGTGAAGGAAGTGCTCTGTAACGACGGCACATGTTTTCGAATGAGTATCCTCGTATTAAAAAGGACAGCTATCACAATAAACTCAGCTTAACACAATCAAAATCGCTAGTAACCTGCTAGTAGAAAGTATCATCATGTTTTTTAATTTTGGTATCAGCTTTCTTAGTACATTGCTGACGTGAGTGGGGAGGAGTAACTGAGTATTGAGTATTGATGATATTACTAATTCTCTATTACACGCTTCAGAACCAGAGGTTGATATTGAGCCACTTCTGTTTTTTACATTGTTCAGTTTTTTGTCCTAGCTTTTTCTTTCATAATGGCCTCCGACAACAAAGCAGGGAGTTGCTGCTGCCGGTGCAAACCCTGGGTTTTCTTCATTCTGTCTGCGGTTGCCGTTGTGATATCTATTGTCTGTTTTGTCATAGCCATAGTTGCTATGGTACCGTTTTATAATGCCTTTATTGATGGCATTAACTATGGACGGTTCATCGATAACACCTACCAGACCACTGACTGTGAAAACATGGTTGCTGGTGATGCTACCTGTGGTGGTAAGGCTTATGATGCCTGGCTTATGAGCTCTGATGAACTGTACAACACATGTATGAGTGATCAGGAACCGTCATCAAGTGCTGTCGCGCTCAGTTCGGCGTGGTGTGATGCCAGCTCCGATGACTGCTCTAAGGACATGTGCCAGAAGGGTATGCAGTATGATTACTATGCATACAACTTGACTAATCCCGAGGAGGTTTTGAAGGGTGCCAAGCCTATTGTGCAAGAGCTTACTCCTGTGCACACGGCCATGAGCATCACTAAGAACGAGTCCTCGGTTGATACTGATCTCTGGAATAAGGAAGGTATCGCCCATTGGCAGGAGAAGGACGAGTATGTCTTCTTCAAGGACGATGAGACTGACCTTATGAACCGGAAGGTTACTGTTGGTAACTTTGCACTTTTGAGTAATCTCGAAGTTGCTGATATGTTTTTGAACCCTATTGAGATGATCGAAACTGTTGGTGGTATCATGGCTTACCATGTTATGGCCAACAACTTCGTCGACGGGTATGGTAACCTGAGTGCTACGACAAGGGCGGCTATTGAGAAGGAATACAAGACACCCGTCAGTGCTATCAAGGGTCAGTATTTCGAAGGTGGTCTTGCTAAGGCTCTTGGTGCTGCAAATGATGACTCTGGTGAATTGTCATTGGAACCCTTCGCTGATTTGTTCGGGAAGAGGTCCGACATGGTATTGCCTACTAGTATGGGCAGCGACTATTTCGGCTTTGCCTTTGGTTGCCCTGCTAAGCAAGATCGGTCAACTGGTAGTTGCCATCTCGACTCTAACAATGCGGATGACAAATCTTTGGCGGAGAATATTGACTCTACTTTTTCCGCTAGCGCCAAGAAAGCTCTGTGGAACCTTATCTACGGTACCAAGATCTCGGATACTAAGTCTGTGCTTACTGCTCTATTGCAACTGAAGATGATGGTCAAGCCGAATGAGCTTAAGTCCTTCCTTACGCAAATGCGATACGCTGGTTCGTATGCTCTCTACAATTTGCCTTGGTTGAGGCACTCTCTCTTGCCTGTCACTGATCCTTCTTCTGACAAGTACGATTCGGATTACGACTACTACCCAAAATTCGTCAAGCTGACAGTTGGTGAGCTGTTGGGATTCCAGGATCAGTCTAAGGTTGACAAGGTCACTGGTATGCCTTTAACTATGGCACTTTCTGCTACTACTTACCCTGTTACCGAACAGTATCGTGCCAGCTTCGTGGAGGACTGGATGGGATTGTATTACTTCAAGATGTCTAACGGCATGGAGTACAACTGTGCATTCGATCCCGATTGCACGGCTCAGGATGAGTTCAAGGCAAATGGTACATGCACTCCTGATGATAAGTGTCATCCCAACTATGCAGCTGGTTTCGATGTGAAATACGTGCCGGGTACTCTGAATGGTCACGGTACAAACGACTACCATAAGGTTGGTGCTATCGACAAGATGTTTGTCAGTCCTGTGTTCTCAACGGCTGAGATGAAGCTCACTAAGAAAGACCAAGATTATAATGGGGCTACTATTGATGTGTGGGATCTCGCGGACCTGGCTTTCAGAAATGAGAACTGTGATGGTTCAGAGGATGATAGTCGAGGAATCGATTGCGACTCGCCTTATTTGACTCTGAATTTGGGCACGTTCAGTTCTCCGAAACCGAATCTAGTGAGGACTCCTATCTT